GGAGTTCAACGAGCGAACGGATGATATCCCGGAGTATAGTGTCATCATATATATATATATATATATATATATATATATATATATATATATATATATATATATATATATATATATATATATATATATATATATATATATATATATATATATATATATATATATATATATATATATATATAGTGTTGGATATTGTCAGTGTAATACAAATATAAATTATAAAAAAATTATGTTAGTATAATTAATTAATAAAAATTAATAATATGGACAATAACAAACAACGGATACTAATAAAAGGTATCACAAGAAAGAAAATTCTTAATATCGTAATAGGTGAGGTGTAGCAATTTGTTTTTAGGACTGCATTTGAATTTTCTTTGTGTAGCTATCTCCTTAAGTTCAGTTCGATAGGCAATTTATTATAAATTTTTACGGTCTATTTGATGTAAGCGACAGTCTATCGACAGGTATTTGTATGTTAATATTCGGTCTTAAAGGATATACTTTAAGACAGACCGTATTATAAGAGGTATATCATGTCCAGAAATATTGTGTTTTTACCACCGACCTAGTGATTAACGCTGCTTAATTTTGATTACTCCAAAACCGTAGCCCCTTATAGAACACCCTGCCGAGCAGACCTGTACCTGTAACCGGACTGTCCTAGCAAAAACTAACAAGCGGTATATAAGTATGTTTTCAATCTTTTTCGACGAGCAATTCTTGAAATATGTACATAAAAAAATTCATACAAAGTAACAATTTATTCGTTCTATTTCATTACATTCCTACATAGTATTAATATACAAAATATAATAATAAAGTATTGGTCACTTAAACAATCGTCACTACCGCTACTGTCGTCAATGATCAACTCCGCCACTACTCGTTCTCGTTAAATATTTTCTTCTTTTATTATTCGTTTTTCACCTCTTGCTGAATTACGTTAATGGTACTATCACTAAATTTTGGTGCAGTGTTATTTCCTCTGATATGCGCGTTCAACTCTGACCAAATCATCTCAATCAGGTTAAATATGATACGAGGGTAATCTCAAGATTTCATGCCCTTTTTGTTGTGCTATCGAACCGCGATTATATTCGATTATAGACTTAAAAGAGACTGTTGTATCGACGCGGAAAGTAAATCCTACCTTGCTTGTTTAATCGCAACTGACTAAGTGCCGTTGTCGTTCCTTTTTGTCGATTGTCTCTTCAAAAAAAGAAACGCGCACAGCGTCGCAAAAAAATAGCCTGGCTGAACCAGGCTAGAGGTTAGGCAAATTTATAATAATAAAAAAAAAACTAATTGATACTCACAATTTACCCGAAAAATATTCCTCTACCAAAATAAGATCGAACATACCGCCGACCTTAAAATCACCATCTTTTAAATTTATTCTAAATAAGGTAAAGGACATAGTTTGGATATGAGCCTTTGCAAAAAACCGTTTCTAGTTCTAACTGTCGCTACTCGGCAAATACCGTCAGTTCCAGGATGAACCTGTGTTACTCGGGCAAGTAACCATCGAAGGGGCGTATTTAATTCGTCTTTTATGACTACCATATCTCCTATGTTTAATAAGGGGTATTTTTTTGTCCATTTCGAACGCTGCTGAAGCGTGTTCAAATAATCGCTTCCAGAATTCGCTATGCAATCGTTGCACCAATTCCCAACGTTGTAAAGTATTAATATTAGCGTTCGTATAATCCTTAGAAGGTAAAGAAGTAAGAGGCTCCAGAGTTAAAAAATGCCCTGGAGTCAAAGCGCTTATGTCATTAGGGTCACTACTCAAAGGGTGTAAAGATCTTGAGTTTAAAACAGATTCGATGCAACATAGCGTTGTATACATTTCCCCGAAAGTTAATTTGTTTAGCCCTATTGACCGAACCAGGTGATACTTCATGCTACGCACACTAGCTTCCCATAGCCCTCCGAAATTAGGTGCTGATGGTGGATTAAAGTACCATTTGATTTTTTCCGTCTCAACGGCGTTTTTCATGTGCTCCACCAGTTGTGTATTGGCATAAAATTGGTACCACAATCGGAGCGGATAATATTACAACGTCCTCTACGTGCGATAAAGCGCTTTAAAGCAACAAAGAAAGCGTCAGTACACAAACTGGAAACCAGTTCTAAATGTATGGCCTTAAAGGCAAAACAAACAAAAATACAAACATGCCTTCTGGGCCTTTATCCCTCTGCCCTTTAAAGGCGTTACCGAAAAGGGACCTGCAAAGTCCACCCCTACTTCCTGAAATGGCTTGGCCTGTGATACACGCCCTGCCGGTAAATCGCTCATGTATGGTACAACAGGCTTGGGATCCACTCGAAAGCATCTTAAACAACGAGACAAACACCTACGAATAGCATTTTTCGCTGACAGTATCCAGAACTGTTGTAGATTCAAAAAATGCAATGTTTGCAAACCCGGATGCAAATATTTCTTATGTAAATAAAATATTATCAGTTCCGTAAGACGATGTTTTTGATTGAGTAACAATGGAAATCTCCTGTCGTGTGGGAAAGATTTGGAATTTATCAAGCGACCACCGACCCTCAAGAAACCTTGATTATCCATAAATGGATTCAATTTTCTTAAAACCTTATCTACGCTTTTGTTTTTTTTTTCTAGCTTATATATAGCATCAGAGAAAACCTCACGTTGTACTTGCCAAACACGACACAAAAGTGCATTGTTTATATCTTCTTCGCAAAGAGCCGCTGAACAAGCGGCAACCGGATTTTGGCGTTTTGTACGAATATTATTGCAAAATTTTACACAATATGCAATGATCCTTAAAATTTTTTCCAATGAAGAATATCTATTAAACACACCGTACGGGTCCGATATGGAAATTAACGTCGTCATGGATTTGCTCTTCTCTTCTAAGCATTCAGAGGGAATTTCGGCCGATAAATCGCAAGGCCAATGATCAGAAGAGTAACGAAGAAACCGAGGCCCATGAATCCAAGTTGCGTGTTTTAAGAATTGTGAAGGAATAAGTCCTCTACTGGCACAATCTGCGGGGTTATCGTTAGTAGGAATATAACGTCAACTATCAGGAGAAATCTTACCTTCGATATGACTTATTCGATTACTAACGAATGTTTGCCATCTATGAGCAGAGGATTTAATCCACGCCAGAGTTACTTTTGAATCTGACCACGCGAAAATTTTTTTAATTATAATTTTATTCAGAGCATCACGAAAAAACTCTACTAAATTTGACAACAAAACAGCAGCACATAGTTCCGAACGGGGCAAGGTTATTCTCTTCAGAGGTGCGACTTTCGATTTTCCAGCAACGAAATAAATTTTATGCTCGCCATTTACAAAAACCCGAAGGAAGACCACACACCCATATCCGCTTTGGCTAGCATCGCAAAATCCATGCATTCAGCTTGAAACATGCATGTGCCTAGGAATTTTTAGAGAAGATAACAGATCCAACTCACACTGAAATTTTCTCCATTTCGCGGTAATTACGGGTTCCTGGTTCCAATCAAGGCCCAAGCTCCATAGCTGTTGAATTAAACATTTAGCGTACAACGTTAGGGGGCAATCATGCCCAAAGGATCAAAAATTCTAGCCAAATTTGACAAAATCCCTCTTTTGGTACACTCGGTACTCGAAATATTACCAATTTTAAAAGTAAAACTATCAAAAGCTGGTTGCCACTGCAACCCAAGAAGTTTGAGGCATAGCGGTTCGACTGTATCAAAGAGGGGTGTCCGATAAAACCTCAGCACAATTAGTAGCCCACTTTCGTAACTCAAAACCACCTCTCTTTAGAAGTTCTGAGAGCTCAAATTTTATACGTTTACCAACTTCCAGATCGTGGAAAGCTGTCAGAATATCGTCAACGTAAATATCAGACAACAGGATATCCGATGCAAGTGGAAATGATCGCCGTTCATCTATAGCTAATTGCTTAATGATCCTATTGGCCAAATAGGGTGAACTACTAACTCCAAAAACCAAAGTATCCAATCTATACTCTTGTACCGGCTTTTCACGGTTAAATCTCCATAAAATATGTTGAAACCTTTTATCCTCATCGCGAACCCGTATTTGCAAAAACATCTTCTTAATGTCTGCTATCAAAACAAATTTATGCAAACGAAATTTAAGCAAAACGTTAGAAATATCGGAATGAAGTTTTGGACCAGCATAAAGTGTAGAATTCAATGAGACCCCATTGGAGGATTTCATTGACGAAGCGAACACCACGCGGAGCTTGGTTGACATGGATTCTTCCCGTATGACACAATGATGAGGAATGTAGTACCGACCAGGCTCATCGGTCCGACTAACGATCGACATATAACCAGCCTCGAGATATTCCCTCATAAAATTTCTATACAAGTCGAGCAAAGCTGGGTTATGATATAATCTATTTTCCAAAGAATAAAGTCTGCGTAAAGCTAAATTTTTCGATTCACCAAAAATTGGGTTCTTTAATCGAAAAGGCAAAGCGACAACGTATCGACTAGAAGAATCTTTAAAATGGGTTTTCTTGTATAGGTTTTCACAAAATTCAGTTCCTGGCGATACCGTTTTGATATTAGGTACGCTTTCGACCTCCCATAACCGCTTAATATTATTATTTAGCGACTCCAAAATTTTTGTACAATACGTCGGTAAAGAAGCGACATTAGTTTTGTTCGAAATCATCTTAAGAACGATACAAATCACCTGATGTTAAAACAAACGCTTCTACTTATTCGAAAATACCCCGCAGCATCAATGCTTAATCAAATTTAAAACGGCCCATTTACGTTTTAAATAAATATTTCAAGTTTTTACAAATATTCGTTACGGTCCATCTTAGGCAAGACCAACTTAATGCAGAATAAACATCTGTTGGGATAGGTTTTACCAAGGTCCTGCGGTCTGCGGTTAAGGTACTGTAAAATACTTAAAACGTCAAAGCAATAAATGCACTATATTTTTGGTCGTACAATAACTTACCCAACTAACCAAAACTAACCATACCTACCTTAACGATAGTGTCATTCGTCAAGAAAACCATCTGCCTCGATTTGGAAATCAACGCTCCGACAATACTCCGCGGAAAAATTTTGAATAATTCAACTTTGGCTATCATTTTCCTCGCGCCGAACAATAAAAATTCGTGTCTTAAGTACGTCGATAAGGCGGATAGTATGGCGTGCTCGTTGAAATAATGATACTGATATTTATATTGGTAGTATCTGAAGTGACGAAAATTGGGCATATAATGAGATCACTGAAAACGCTAATACTCAATTAAACGGGCCCGTAACTCTCTCGGAAGATTTTTCTGCCTCATGAACATATTCAACTGCATCAAGTAGTCCTCGTATTTGCTTTCGGAAATTGAAACGACCGTAAGTATCCTCAGCAAAGTGGCTATCACGTATAAAGTCCAGATTCTTCCGGTGACCATCACTACGATCAGTGCTATTTTCTCGCACAGGATTTCATTTATTGGAACGTAACCATCCCCTAACAAAGTATAGTGTATTTCAATATATTTAGTTTCTGAAGCTGTAGTAAAAGTAAAGTCTGTTCATAGATATAAGAAAGTGACTAACTGAGACGAATTAAGGAAAGACCCGGGCAAGCTGTAAGAATGAAATATGGCCGAACAGGTCCATACTTTGCTTAGAATTTAACTAATTATTTGGGGTTTTGATAGGATTGGTACTAATCAATATTTATTTATTTATGTATTTATTTATGTTTAAATCTAAAATAAAATTACCAATTATTTTTATTACCTGCTTAAATTACTTAAAATTATTCACATAATGTATCATTATCGCTATCATCGCCTGTTCTAATTATTATTTGTTCTATATTATTTGCAATATGGATATACGATTGTTCTGCTTTTTCTATATGTTTAACAGAATTTGCCCAACTTTGTGAAGGGATATAAAACTTCGGTTTCTAAAAGTAGCTAATGGACCCTTTCTAAATATTTTTGTTTTCCCAAACCCATTTGTTAATTCTAGTTCCGGATTTTTTTATTATTGAATGCATATTACAGATTGATCTTCTTCATCGTACGTTAACACCAAACACTCAAACTGAGACTACTTTGTACGTAAGCACTGGAAATATTTCGAGAATGCAAACGAGGAGCTCTTCCTATCTTGTTAATGTTCCGTGACTATAAGTGTAAGGTGTTTCAAATTTTTCTATTGTCTGAATCAACGGAACCTGTCAACAAAACTATATGTATATGTACTAACCCGAGCCAAAGAAATGAATTTGCACCATACTGAAACAATCCACATATGCCACCATTAAGTCTGTAGGCGGATGTAGACCAGCTCTGACAATCCACAAATCATCGGAACTTAATTTCTCGACTTCGTAGACGGCATGGGGCAAAAAATAAAACGCGCACGTAAAAAAATGTAGCAACACCAAAGTAATTATTGTCAATTTCATGCAGATTAACGCGTGATCGTGAATCTGAAAATAATTCAAATTCTACAGCTACAAAGTAAAAATGAAGGACAGGGGGACTTTTCTTTCACTTTTGCAATTATTTAAAGTCTAGTTTTGTTTTTGTGTAGTTTCAACTAAATATTCATTTCATTAAATTGCAGAGCTAAAATGCTATCCCTACTTTTATAGTAGTTCAAATTTACGATCTAGGTGGAATACCAGTCGTTATTGGTTGCCTCAAATTTGACATAAACACACATAATAGATAATATTTAAAAATTAGCAGCAAAAAAGTGTATTTGGCTTGATCTTACTTTGTTTCAGGGTGTAAAAGCGGATATTACAGCCCTAGTATCTTCAAAGCACGTCCATAAGTAAAAAAAATAAACAAATGTCCTTTCGAAGCCAGATTCTAATAATTCGTTTTTGAACCATCCAATAACAGTATCATTATTTGGACTCGTGCCTAGACAGTACTGAAACTGAATTTTCGGGGTGAAAAAGGCACTTCAGGTTTTATCGGTGTAGGATTTGGGTTCCATTTTAGCACCATTCTTGGAGCCGCCCAAGCCAGTTCTTAGTTTTCAGTTTTTACTTTATTGCTATGGGTTTTGTCTTCTGTTTATGTAACTTGCATAGAGTTGAACGAAGGTTTCATGAGCTTATTTTTGAATCTTAGATCTACATCATATTTTTGTTTTCCTTTAAGGTTTTAGGCTAGGTTTATTTGATTAAAATAGAAACCTGACCTAAACCCTTAAAAAACAGGATGAGGTATGGACGTAAGGATCGAACGAATCCATTATAGATACTTAAAACTTGAAATTGATGAACTAATTTCGAATTTTTTGCCACATCCAAATTTATCTCAAGGTTGATCGGAGGTCATAAAATAGTTCAAATGATTGAATAAACTACGCAAATAGTTACAAATAAAACTAATTCACAGAATACAGATTACATTGCCTTTAACCTCTTTGCATTCTTAAAATGGCCAAACCCATTTAGAAGGAGCCGGCTACACAGCCAAATGGTGAACAGTCATCAGTGTTCCCCATAAAGCTGCTACTGCTGAGAGGCTTTTCTCTGATGAAACCGACATCAACAACATGTCGAGAAACGACTTTCAAGATGTGCGTGCGCGAATTATTTCAAACCCTCTTTCAGATTGCTGCGTTCAATAATAGTTGCTGTTAATAAAACGAATAACAAAAATAGTGCAAAATACAGGTTACGGTGTCAAATTTAAGGGTATGTACGACAGTGTCAAATCCACCTGACTTCAATCAATTTTACAGTTATTTGCGGCTCTTACATTATCTAATAATATATGGCTGTTCTGAATCTTTGTAATATATTGTTATTACTTATGTTGTTGTTTAAGTGTCTTTGTCTCAGTGACTCATAGTTTCAAACAACAAACAAAAATAGTGCAAAATACAGGTTACGGTGTCAAATTTAAGGGTATGTACGACAGTGTCAAATCCACCTGACTTCAATCAATTTTACAGTTATTTGCGGCTCTTACATTATCTAATAATATATGGCTGTTCTGAATCTTTGTAATATATTGTTATTACTTATGTTGTTGTTTAAGTGTCTTTGTCTCAGTGACTCATAGTTTCCAGCCATTTGTAATATCTAAAGATGGTTTGCTAAAACACTTGGAATTGTGGTGAATATTTGCTGCTGTGGTGGTTACAGTTAACAATTAAATTTCATCATAAACGAAAAATTGCCTACCCCACAGTCTTTAAAGAATCTTTGCGTATAGTCCAGTAACGTTTTCAATCTAGCGTATGCTGCAAGATTAACCAGATACATCCATCGAACGTAGACAGTTCCAAAAGGAAATATTACGGTTAGAAGGTCAAATACGAAGTATGTAAAGAGATACCTAAAAACAACGAAAGATTAAGTGTGTTATTTCTTATAAATCATCTACTCTATAAACACTATGATCCACCAAAATTTGGTCTGTTCTTAATCCGAGTGCTTACCGTCTTACAATTTTCCCGTGATTAAATTCAATGGTATTCGTGTTCGACACTTTGTATGCTGCAAAAAATTCGGTAACGACCCAAAGCAATTCAAGAGGAAATATTATTCCATTTTCGAGATAAGAACCAAAAATCTACAAAATAACAATGGTTTTATGAAATATTTTATGGAGCTTAAATATAATAATACATGATCAGTGTATTTACTTACATCCACGAAGAAGTAGTGAGCACGAAAGATGTCTCCAAAACTTGCGTTTAGAGGAGAACTTACAATTTCGAATGTCCACAAAATTATAAATAATAGTTCTCTCAGCATTTGAACATCACTGTAAGGATGGATGACGTAGTAAAACGGGCTTTTAATGTGCCGCTTTTGTTCGGCCATGATCTGAGAATTATTTCTATAGTTTCTAAAAGGAAATAATCGTTCTGTTATGTCATCCTCTGTAAAGACCGACAGATGCTCAAAAAATACAGAACATATCTACTCCTTACCTTGTGCTAATTGCTGCTTTTGGATTGACGGTGATTAATTTTCTAAGAAACCTTAAGAATTTTTTGTAAAACGGAGCATTTGGGGGTAATTTTTCAAACCCAGTTCTGATCGTTCTAAGTTCGCATAAGTGAACGCCGGATTTCATTGCAGCAATTCACAAAAAAAAACGTCGAGCATCGAATATCTGACGTTTATGACAAATTTTATCTCCCTGACAAGCTGTTTCAACTTCAAGCGTATTTAGTTGCGTAGCGCCCATATGTATTGTTTTGACGGGAAAAAATTATCCTAAAGGTCGTACCCTTTAATATTGACAACACAACAACATTAAAAAATTGTCATTTATTACAGCCCAAGTAGCAAAATCAGTTTTATGAAACTTCTATGAAATGCAATATAATAATAACGCCCTTTACAGATCTAATACAGTTATAAAATTATAATTATAATATTCTTATCTGACGTTTAAGTATTTTATAAGATGTCTTGCAGATTACACAGTCCATATATGTGCTTTATGATCATTATAATTATATTTATTAACCATCCTATACAGCGATTTAAAGCTACTTCAAGAATAGATTTAAGTAATACACATTACAGAATATCTACACTTTTTAAGTTACTTTCTATTGTGGCGAAATCCACAATGAAAACATCGAATAAAAATTACATAATATATAATTAAATATGTATTTAATAAATCATAATTAAATAATATGTATATGAATAATAGAAATATGTAATTTTAGAACTTTTACAAAAAAAATTTCCGTACCTAAAAATTTTCCTGCCCAGCAGAATTCTCTGATAAAATATATAGATTGTATTAAAAAATAGAACCAGAGAAAAGTCTCTCCCTGACACCGACAAACGCCCAACCCCATAGATCAATATGGCGTTAGTTAATAGTTGTTAAATTATTATTTGTCAAAAAAATCATTACACGATGTTTTATTTAAACTGTATGAAACTCAATATTTTGTAGAGTGGTTTATATGCACACTATAACACAATTTTTCAAAGAAACAAAGGACCGAAATTTTATTCATTTTATACCTCAATTTTGAATTTGAATTTGAGGTAAATATTATATAAGGCACTAAAAGCAAACATTTGATAAAGACACGGTGTTGTCGAAACAACATGTAATAGTCTAATGGCATTTGACGCACAAGTTTATTTGACACGAGTGGAGCGAATTTTTAATAAACGAGTGAGTTAAAAAGTTTACCGAACGTGTTGAATAGAATACTTTTTCTACGACCGTTAGTTTTTGGGGACATTTTCGCAAAACAACACGAATACATTCAGTGACATGATCGTCAGAATTTACACACGTCAAAATTCAAAGCGTGGGAAATACCTCCGAAAACGGGTAAAATCCCGGAAATGTCCGAAGTGGCTCGGATAAGTGGGAAACAAAACTGTCGTGGTAAAGTGGCGCTTCCCGCACGCTACATCGGTGTGTATTTAGGTATTTTACAGACGGGAGTAGAAAAAAATATATAATTTGGTGAAAATCTGAACTTTTAGTTCTGATTTATTTTGATAAATGGATTTTCATCAAGTAAAAGCCACCTCAGTTCAAAGCACACACTTGTTTTTTACAACTTATGAAGTGACACATTTAACCAAATATAGGGTGATTCAGGGTGGATGGAAGTTTCAGATTAAACGACGTAGCAGCGATGCCATTTTGCCGTTTCTTCGAAAAAGTAGCATCAACTTTGATATTTTAAATGAGCCACTGTATATGATTGAATTTAGCGTTCCGCCATCAGCTTCTGGTTATATTTGTACGTTACTTCCGAATATCTATTGTAAAGGTTTTTGTTGTGCAAAACATAACTTCAATTAATATTTATTACAGTTATATATTTCAAATTGCGGAGAACTGACTATAGCTATAGTTTGCAATATATAATTATGCAATAGTTTTTTTATGAAGTTATAGTTTATGAACCCTATATTCTTATGTTCCTCACATATCTAAAGATTAAGTACTCTGAAATATAAAAAAAGGTTTCTATAAAAATTACCATATTTGCCTTATCAATTCCATTGAACGTTTGCAAAATTGTTTCGGACAAGAAACACGCCACGGGTGACTTTTGTGCAGACTAGGCTATCCAAAATTCGAAAATACCCGATATAAATCACAGATTTTTTTCCTGTAAACTTTACCATCCGATATCTGAAAAAGTAAAACGTTTAGGACATAACACGATTTGTATAGGGCCATAAAACAGTTTTCAAATTTTTTTTTACTTGAATTCAAACTAAGCAAATTTCTTTTACAGACAAGACAAGAAACTTTAAGGCCCTGTTGTACAGTGGCAGTTCAAGCACAGTTCAAGGTTAAACCCAGTATAAATATGCAAGTCCAGTGTACAAAGTCAGTTCAAAGCTAAATTCGGTTCACTATTTACTAGCACGGACATCTGCAATCGACAAGAACAGAATGGAAGTAACGTAAGTATGACAAGTAACTTTAACGCACGCTTATACAGTTGTAGTTCAAGCACAGTTCAAGGTTAAAATCATTTTAAATATGCAAGTCCAGTTGTTCAAAGTCAGTTCAAAGCTATACTTGATTCGCTATTCATTATTTTGTGACGTCCAATTGGACTCCGCTTAAACCAAATTCTACGATCTATATGACATAATATAACCTTAACATTATTCAGTATTTTACTATTTCACAATGTCCTGTGATTTTACCTAAATTAAGAAATCAACTCTGGATCCCCAATTTTTTGTCTTAAATTATTAAAGTACCCCAGTAATGGCTCAAGAGTTCCGAGAAAATATCTGGAATTAACACATGGCGAACACTTTGTTGAAGCAGTAGAAGTGGTTTCTGTGGTGAGCATTAGACATGGCGGTTTAATCTCCGTTCGACAGAATCCCTTGCAATCGCCCTCAAAAATTCTGAAATTGGTTTCCAGTATGTGGATTTAGTGTTTTTAGTGTTCAGTGAATGTTTTAAAGTTATAATCGTAGTCGGCCCTGTCGTTTTTTCCTGTTTCTCGCTGGTATGGTGGCCGGATGGCCCGGATGGTACGTGGTTGTAGCGGTTGGATGCCGGTTTTTTTGGTATCGGTCAAAATCCTTTTTTGCTAGCTGAGTAAGTATTTGTTATATTTTTTCTTTTTACGTGTTGGTGAACAAAAGCGAAAATTCACGACGGAAGTCGGCAATGGGCGATTGATCATAGCAATCCTGCCCAACTGAAATTGGGATACGCATATTAAATTGAAATGAAGCATTAGAAGTATCAAGAAGGTAGCATTGCACGCGGCGGTTTAACCTCCGTTCGCTCCCGACAGAAACCCTTGTATTCGTCCTCAAAAGTTTGATATCAGTTTTCACTGTGTGGACTTAGTGTTTTTAGTGTTCAGTGCATGTTTTAAAGTTATAATTGTCGTCGGCCCCCTCGTTTTTCCCTGTTCACGCCGGTATGGAGGCCGGATGGACCCGGATGGTCCGGGGTGGAAGCGGGGGGAAGCCGATTTTTTTGGTATCGGTCAAAATCGTTTTTTGCTAGCTGAGCAAATTATTGGTTATTTTTCTTCTTTCTACATGGTGGTCATTGACCAGAAGCGAAAATCCTCGACGGAAGTCGGCAATGGGCGAATGATCCTAGCAGTCGAGCACAAAAGAAATAGATATTGACTATTTTTTTACTATGGAAAGATGATAATTTCATTGAAAATTTCGACTTTCTAAACTGTTCCATTTGTTATAAAGCATAAACAATGGTTGAAGAGCAATTCCGAGACTGTTAAGGTTTTTTTCTTTTTCTCTTTCGAATTCTACTAATTTTAAAATCCTGTGGCATTCGAACCCTTTTTGATGTGAAACGTGAAAAAAAAGAAGAAGTAGTATTCTATGGTGTGCAATTAATTTTAATATATGTTTATTTGTTTTTGTTGTATGTTAATTTTACAAAAAGAAATCTTATTTTGGGTGTAAAGAAGGCGCGGTAAAAATAGTAACCTCCAGATGGACGAATCACGTTTCTGTAGACTATGTTTAACCACATCCTCAATATTGTATTCCTTATTAGATAATAATGGTTCAGAAATGCTTGAAAATCTAACAGGAATTAAAGTAATTATAGTAAAATATTTTGTTTCTCTTTTCACTTGCTTTCTAAAAACTCTACTTTTAGATCTGTTTAGATACCTATTCCACATATTCCTGTGTAAAATGTTGGTTAAATTTAAGATTAGCTCATCACATTCAACAAAACTTTCTTGAATCTGAGAAGAAACTTCATGAAATGACTCCCGAAATAATATTGGATAAAGAAAGTGATGTAGTTCTAAATGATGGCAATGAGACTAATGAGGCTACTGAAGGAACCCATGCTCCTATTATACAATCTATTAAGTCAGAGTTAGAAGAAGATTCAGCTGAATTTATAATTATTGAAAGCGATAATAGTCAGTTTAATGCGTTTTGCAATTGCTTAATATGTGGAGTAAGTATGGAAGATGACCATGAGTATTATTCCCACATAAAAGAACACTATAATGAAGAACAGACATGTGAAGATTGTGGGGCCACTTTGGGTGATATAACTTCTTACAGAGACCATATCCTCTCAAAACATACAGTATTGAGTTCAAAAACATGGAAATGTAGCATATGCCAGCTTTCCTTCCAATACAAACCTTTGTATAATGTTCACCTAAGGTCTGCTCATGGTGAACTATTGAAAACCAAACAAAATCAGAAAGCAACAGGAGCTGGAATAAAAGACCAGCTCAAATGTCTTGAATGCAATAAAGTTTTTTTGAAGCGTAGTGCTTACTCTGCTCATGTTAAGGGCAAGTGACAATTTATTTTTTCTGTTAATTTGCTTAATATTTTTTAAACATGAACAATCTCAGTGGTATTTTTTTTTAGGTCATACAAGAGTAAAATGTCCAATCTGCAGTGCAGAAATTACTAGGTTAGTTACCTTTTGGCCTTAAGTGAGTAGTAGCTGTTGTAAATTCAATTATTGCCATTGACATGGGTGCTTAAAAACATTTTCATGTGTTTTTAGATATAACATTAGTAAACATGTGATGTTGCACAATTCTGGTCCCTCTGTCTGTCACCTTTGTGGTGTAGAATTAAAAAACATTGAGAGTCTCAGAGGTCACCTGTATTATACACATTCTAAGAAAAGATTTTCTTGTGAACAGTGTGGAAGAGTTTTTTCTAAGGCATACAATTACAAGATCCACATCAAAAAAGAACACACAGGTATATTATATATATTAATCATCAAATTCCATTTCATGAATTATTAAACCCAATTTAGGTGAAAAGGGATTTACTTGTGATACATGTGGAAAAGGCTTTTTTACTCAGTACACTTTAAATAAGCATGTAAAAATGACTCATCTAAAGTTACGCCCGCACATTTGCAAATATTGCAAGAAAGGATTCTCCAGTCGCTTTGCTCTAAGAACTCATGAGAGGCAACACACAAACGAAGCTCCATACATTTGCGATGTGTGTGGCGAGGGCTTCCGGCAAAAAGTGTCGATGAGAGCCCATAGAAAATCAAAACACAACATCATAGAATTGAAAAAAGTTAAATGCCCAACTTGTGCCAAAATGTTTATAAATGATGTGGCCCTTAGAAGCCATGTAATGAAAAGGCATTGAGTATATATTTAGTTATCCTTTTGAAATGTAATTGGAAGTGTTGTGCTAGATTGTAATAAATTATTTTATATTATTTTACAATTTTAACAATTTATATGTTATTAAAGAGAAATATCACCCTTTGATGGTAAGAATTTGGTTTAATGAAGTTATAAAGGAGACAAGTTAAATTAACAGAACAAAGATTTCTTTTAAGCACTGGAAATTTCGTAAATATCTATGAAGTGCCATAAAAATGAAGAAAAAAATTTTTATAACCACAAATTATCCAAATAGAAAACATAATTTTCTATATCGATCGTAGGCTGCGAAAGTTACTTTTTTTTATATTATTACACTCGTAAATATAGGTTCGCGTTTTATTTCTAAAGATACAAATAATAATAAAAAAAAACATTTTATCTCAAAACAAAGGCAAAGGGCACGAGAGGGTACAAAAAAATTATAAACCTAAAGCTTTTGAGGATTAGCGTGCCCTCAAACACGTAGTGACAAAAATAGTCCTGATTATAGAATTTTATGTTAATGAGGAAACGATGTAATAGCAGATACAACATATCAAACCTGTAAAATATAAAAAGTGACCGTGACAAGCTAGTTCTCTTTTCTAAGAAGAAACAATATCTCTGACCCTAACCTAATATCTACTTACATTATATTTTCTATAAATGTTTTTACAAAAAAGTTGATTTTGTATGTTGCTCCAAAAATGGCGTGTTTTAAAAGAAATAGGTTAATAGTTTTTTTAATTGCACTTGTACTACAAAATGGTTTTTGTGTTAGGATTTACACAAAATCTGATTTAAATAAATTAAAGTAAGCAACTGACCCGGATTTTGATTCTTAATCTCCATTAATATCGGTAAATATTAGGCGTATTAAATAATTTTATTTTACTAGAAATGAAGTTCAACAAATGTTTTATCATGCTTATGATAGTTACCTGAAATATGCGTTTCCATATGATGAATTAAGACCTATTAGTTGTGATGGTACAGACACCTATGGGAGGTAAACAATCCCATGATTTTCTACTAAAATTCCCATTGTTCTTATTTTGTAGTTATTCCCTTACACTAATTGATGCTCTTGACACATTGGCAATTATGGGAAACTATACTGAATTCCAAAGGGTGGTCGACATATTATCAATGAAACAAGACTTTGACAGTAATATAAATGTTTCTGTGTTCGAAACAAACATTAGAATAATTGGTGGACTTCTCAGTGCACATCTTTTGTCATATAAGTAGGTATATGATGATGAGGACTGGATCTTTTTACTTTGTTGTAATATAATGTTGTCGTAAAGAGCAGGTGTAAAATTAGAGCCCGGGTGGCCTTGCAATGGGCCATTGTTAAGACTTGCAGAAGATGTCGCCAAAAGACTATTACCTGCCTTTGATACTAAGACAGGTATGCCTTATGGTACTGTAAATTTGCGAAAGGGAGTACCCAAAGGAGAGACACCTGTTACTTGTACAGCTGGTATAGGCACTTTCATTGTAGAATTTGGCACTTTGAGCAGATTGACTGGTGATCCATTATATGAGGAAGTAAATACAAAAAATTTTTTTGATTAATTATAGAATATAGATTGATACTCTATAGGTAGCCATGAATGCATTGTATTCTCTTTTTGAACATCGATCAGCTCTTGGGTTATTTGGAAATCATATTGATACTGACACGGGACATTGGACTGCTCAGGATGCAGGGATTGGGTCTGGCGTTGATTCCTATTTTGAGTACTTGGTTAAAGGGTCCATATTACTGCAAAGGTAGGTCTCTATACTGGGTGTTTTAACACAAATGCGAAAAAATTAAGGAAGTGATTCTTTAGTTAAAATATGTGGTGTGATATTGTTTTGTAGTGTCTTTATGACATTTAATATTTTGTTCTATCTAATTTTGTGTTCCAGAAAAAAAAATAAAAACATTATTTTTCCGCTATATTTGTAGCGCAAGGATTGGCTTTTCATCTTGCGTTTATATAACAAACTACCCTTTATTTTTAAGAAGGCATCGCCCACTTAAGTTTTTCATATTTCTTTTGAAAGGATAGGTATGGTTTTTATCATATTTCTTGATTTAATAAGGAAGCCAAAATAATTTTTTGCTATTAAAAATTTTAAAAAGGAAACGAATGAATATATGTTCTGCTTCAGAAATACATATTCACTTATTAAAACTTGAAAAGTCAATAATCAGTGTTTTGACTAATTTTTAAGGCCAGAACTGATGGCAATGTTTCTTGAGGCGAGGCAAGCATTTGACAAATACCTAAAAAAGGACGATTGGTACATGTGGGTCTCAATGACCAAAGGGCATGTAACATTACCAGTGTTTCAATCACTAGAATCTTTTTGGCCTGGATTACTGAGTCTTATTGGTATGCCACGCTTTTTTTATCTAAATATATGGAATTTAAATTTAACTAATGAATTGAAAATTGGGTATATATCCAAACAAAATCATTACATGACTTATTATTTCATTTTTTGAAGGTGATACTTCAAATGCAATGGGTACACTTCACAATTACCATCAAGTATGGCACCAGTATGGCTTCATCCCAGAATTCTATTACATTACCCAAACGGAAGCTGGTACAGGAAAAGAAAGCTATCCTCTCAGGCCCGAACTCATTGAGTCTATCATGTACTTGTATAGATCCACTGGAGATCCATTTTTGTTGCAAGCTGGAGAAGATATCCTTAGAAGTATTCAACATAGTGCAAAGACTCCTTGTGGATTCGCCACAGTTAGTCTAAAAGGTGAAAGTATAACTTAGTATTCAAAAATATTTATTTTAGATCAAAGATGTAAGGGACCATCGCAAAGAAGACAGGATGGAGTCTTTTTTTCTCTCAGAAACAACAAAGTACCTTTATCTGTTATTTGATACAGACAACTTTATCCATAATCAGGGTCAGCATGGCACTCTTATCAATACACCGAATGGAGAATGTGTTGTAGATGCAGGGGGTTATATTTTCAACACAGAAGCGCACCCAATAGATCCTAGTGCTTTGCATTGTTGTCACAATATCCCATCATACAATCTTTACAATTTCAAAGAACTTGACAGTAAAAAGTACCTTTTTAGAGGCATTCCGATCAGTAAAGCTCAAGAGAAAAGTGAAAGTTCAAGAAAGTCAACGAATTATTCTGAGCCTTCAGAACAAACTGTTGGATTAAATGTAACTACCTTAATCACTAGTGTTGAAGTTTCAGAAAATACGTCCTCAGTTATGGAAGGAGCAGCTAAAAATATGTCAAACAGATTGGACTTGTTAATTGCATACAATGAAATGTTTGATCCTCAGCTGATGCTGGAGAAATTCAGAATGCAAGATAAAATTCATAAGAATACAAGTTGGGAGATGAATTATGAATTGTTAAGCTGCACAGCGCAAAATTTCCTCCATAAATTGAGTATTATGGGAGAGTTTTTCCAGTAATTGTGTTCTCATAGCATTAAAGTATAAATTTTATATTGTGTTTTATTTCCCTGAACTAGTTAATTAAACAAAAAGATATATTTTTAATTTTGCATTTTTCAGACAGAAACTATTCTTTTTTTTTGTAACGTTCCACGGACACTTAAGTCTCAAGTATTAAACTTAAACTAAGAGCTTTAAAAAGTTGGCAACTCTTATAGAATTCATTTCATTTATTATATTTTGCAGGTTTTCTAAAAGATTTTATTAATTGTTGATTTTAGAAAAAATCAATAAATGTGGATGTCATGGATGAATAATATTAAAACTTTTTTTTATTAATGACAAAATTTCTTTTATAATATCAGTCAATTTATGCTAAAGTATAATAATATGTGACAAAACAAAATATCAGTCAAGTAACAACGAATTCGAAAGGATAAATAGGGCTATTTACTAATGGTTAAGATAAAATCTGGTACACACTGCCACATTATCGGAGCTATTAAGAGAGAGATTCAAGCGCTTAGATATTAAGTTAGAAAGAAACGGCATAAAACTACTTTTAAAACAAAATCAATAATCGAAAACCTGCAATATTTTTTATACCCACTAGGTAAATTTAATTATAGGTAAATTTTTGTAACGTTGTTTCGTCCATATCTCGGTTAAATTTAAATTTAAATGAGTTTAAAATTAAATGCGTTACCTATGTCCATTATAATACAACTGAGAGACGGGTAAATTCTGTCTTACATTATGTGTTTACTCTGCCTCTGTTTTGAGATACATACATTTACGTCAAATAACGACAATATTATCTAAATAACTTGTAAGTTCATTCGTCAAAAAATCTCTTTCGTTGGTTTAAAGTAGAAAACTCGATTGTAATTACATTTTTTTGAAAAATTTTACCGTCTGAACAAGGTTAGATCGAACCGTCGGTTCGGCCCGAAGTGAGCCGAACGCAAAGGTTTAATAAGTTTATTATATATTTGCTTTATATATTTATTAAAATGGATCAAAATATTTCCGACGAATAATGTGACTAACGCATTCTTTTATTTTGATTGATTAACCTACATGTATTTATCCTATCAAGAAATGCTTTACGAAGAATAAATTTATTGAATTTTGTGAGAAAGTTATTCGCAGCGTGCGCCGTTTCAGGCTGTAGTCGTTTCGTCAAAAGTATCCGGTCGAGTAAATCTTGTGAAGTGATTACGAAAATATTAAGTTTGTAACTATTATTTTTGTTTATATAATTCGGAGAACGTTTTCAAAATAGTAATGAACGGACTGGAAATTACCAAAGAGTTAAAAAGTGACATCGAATCAAATCAAAATCAGTTACAAAATGCTATTCAAAATCATCAGGTAAGTTTTCGACTTATTTTTTTTCCTCACGTCTACTTTCCGATCAACTCACGACAGCGCGTGGCTGTGTATGTATCGAATAAGGACAAAACATTAAACAATATTATAGAACTTCGCTGCCCTTTGTAAACTTTGTAAATGACTTTTAATATTTTTTTAGATACAAGTGAAAAAGATTAAGGACGACCCATATGTAAGTAATGCGACTTGTTTCTCCATGCGCAATGGCTATTATTTCCTATAAATCTTTTAGAATGACGAGTTGCTATTGGAAATTAAACGTGTTGAAGAACAAATTGTCTGCTTCGGATTTGAACAGGTGAGTCTAACGTAAAGTGCCCTTTTTGGGTATTTAGTAAACTAATGCTGGGGAAGTTTCTTTATTGCGTTTGAATGAATATATTTTAACAAACCATTTGCATGTAGCGCACTTTTAATTTGAGTTATCTGTCAAAAATTATAATTTACGCAAAGTTATTAAAGTATGGACATTGTCGGGCAGAAAGACAATGTGTATGGCATCATGTAGCTGATGATATTTGCGTTACTGTATTTTTGGCTTTGTTCAGGATTTATTTTTAAGACATTACATTAGACTTACGCATTAGACGCTTAATTTTTTAAATAATAATTTTTAGGTAATGCGTTTTGCAAAAAAAAGTATAGGTTTCTTCGTTTTTGACTTAGTTTTGTCGTAAAGGGACAATTATTATTAAACTCATGTTTGCGAAAATTGTTAGATTTTTTTTATAATTTAATTTGTAAAACTTCATTTATTTAAAAGAAAATGCCCCTGTAATGCTTAATTCTAACCTAAAAGTTCAGTGTAAAAGCGCTTGAATAATAATTATGTATATTTTATTTTTAAACAAAAAGCAAAGGAATGTTTAATTATGTACGTATTTTAGTTTTGAGTTACCAGAAAAGTCTGAAGTTAATTTGCTGATTCTACTCAGAACTTGACGCTCTCTGTTTAAAGGAATCAAGGATTCACTTATGTACGATAGATATTTTTAATAAACCTGCACACAGTGAACTTCTGCACTGAGGCGTCCCCTTTCTCGCGTAATGTTAGAATTTTTATTGAACATTAGAATAAACTTATTTTGTGTATATGAATTGACGTTAAAATGTTCTTTTAACTATAGAAAAGCTTATTAAAGAGATTGAGGGAAGAATACAATGCTCATCAAAAGTCATTAAAAAATAGCATTGCAAAAACTGCTTTAGAAGAGAGAAGGTTCAATCTATCAAGTGCACTGAGCAGAGCTAGAAAGCAACACATGTAAGTAAGATGCCTGGTCAAAAAATTTTGTATTAAACGATTTTTTTTTAAAGAACAGTTACACGATCCTCATCAGCAAATTCTATTTCTGATGAGTCCGAAGGCAAGCAATCTATACATTCGTCGCCTGAGCATCAACTCAATCCCGTTCGACCCCATGACATTAGCCAGGCCAAATTTCTTAATTATTTCTCACTGGCCACCCATGAGGTTTTCCGGGAAATGCAAAATAAACGTGCCGAAAGGAAGAGGCGAAGTACAGCAAATCCACACTTTTTGTATGGGAACAAGGGTTGGGATTTTTTCGGACCAACCACAGTAGGTTATCAATTTAGTTTCAGCTGTGATAGAAAGTTGATGGTGGCTAAATAATGACTGAAGCCACTATTTCGTTTTACAGAAACGTAAACGTAGTGCCTTCCTAACGCAACCAATTTCACCCCCAAACACCCGACAGGCGACCAGAAAAAGGCAAGAGCGAGTGTCTCCAACTGTTGGTTCAAAATTGCCCTCTACAAATGATGATCAAAAGGGTACCGATAAATTTTGTGTGAATGGAGGTTGCATATCTTCTCCCGTACCATTCGGCAGTAATGTCGACCTTAAATCTGTAAATTCGTTTCCAATTCCAAACTTACCTAGCGGGTTAATTATCGAGAGAGTTAGTCCCTGTAGCAATTCCCCAGATTCCAAATCGTGCATTATTTGCAAACAACCTGGTAAGTTATTCTATTTATCAAATTTTGTGGGACCTTATTAAGGAACTTTACTCAAACTTATTAATATTTGAGGCTAGTTACAAAACGAATATAATAAATTTAATAATAAATAGTTCAGAATATCAGCTTATATTAAAATTGTAAGTTGGGCGAATTATTAGGTAATGACATTCCTTTAAATTAAAGCAATCTGAAGTATAATTACTATACCAAATACTGTTTCTATTGTTGTTACTATTTATTAACATTAATAGGGGATAAAATATGAAAACAGAAACAGTAATGTACTCAGTGCATTGACTATCCGAATGGAACTTGATATTAGAATGTTTTAGTTCTGCGAAAATCAGTATATGATTAATTACTTTTTGTGTCCTAGGGAAACATAAAAAATTAGTTGCCTTGCCGTGTGCATGGTTTTACAAAATTCGAACATAGATAAAATTAAAGAGTTATTCCTAGAGAACTTTCATGAGTAACTCTCTGTCTGCATTTTTTTCTGATAAAAAAACACCACTTCAATTTCAGGTGCTTTGACAATATGTGAAAGATGCTCAAATGGTTTTCACGTAAGTTGTCACAACCGACCTCTCACTCAAACGCCTAGACAATGCCCCAAATGTATTTTGAAAGAAAAACGAACTATCGGAGCTTTAAATGTGCCTTCAGGGATGAGCGTATCCTATGTACCTTCAACAGAGTATACCGGTTAGATTGTCTTCTTACCAAACACGTTTATTATAAAAAAAAATTTCAGAAAAACTTAATCTCAAAAAGGAATTAGAAGAGAAACGGCAACACTTGTCAGCAGAGTTGACCCAACTGCAAAACCGTCACTCTCAACTTACAATCTCGCTAAGAAATCAGCAGTCTGAACAGGAAAAACTGTTGATGAATCAGCAATCGACGGAAGCTAAAGTCAGTCAAATTCTGCAGTTCATAGATAAAATAAAAAATTGCAGCCCCAACGAAGAAAACGGCTCTTTATAACATTAATTTGAAGGGCTTTAGAGTAAAGGTTAAGCCCATGACGAAACTTTATTATATGGTTCTTCAGCTGAAGGCAACTTGTTAAAAATGTTAAGTTTGTATTGTATTGGTCAACTTAAATAGTTTTGTAGATATTAATCCATTTTATTATTACACTTTTTTTTTTAATTTGAACGTTTTTTTTTCCTATAATTGTAAACTCTTTTAGCCTGATTTATTGAAAGGTGCTATAATTTTTCACAAAAGTAATGATGCTAATAACCTGAAATAGGTCGAAGTCAAACATTTGTGAAGGGTGTGGTTTAAACTTTTTGAATAATTGTGCGATGTTTGTTGAGATTCAGGTAACTCATTTATTAAATAACAATGACTCACATGCGGGTTATCTAGCCAACAGATACCTGTATGCTCGAGTATTCGCATGTTCATTTGCGCATCAACGCGAATCAGGTAAACTAAGCCTGAACGAATCCTTTTGGTATATCTTTTGCTTTATGCATCTGTCTCGGCTGGTGCCCCCGATCCTATATTTGCCGCTCTTTGTAGCTGTTCCCAAAAACATCGGCGTAACTGCAAAACGATTTTTTTTTTCAGAAGGATAAAACAATTAACATATTTTAGAATATTGTCTTGGAAAATATAGGTCTTGTCAACCAGATAAATAAGCTTCTTAAGAAAATATAAGTGCACTTTCGTTAAAAATTTGCAGTTACGTCCTTGTTTTTCCTGTTCCTGCTCTTGCGACTAGGCACCATTGCTAAGCTTAGTCGTCATAGTACTTATCATAGATTATAAAAGTAGTTGGTTGGTACTCGTTTGATCTGAAGTGAGGATCATGGATAATAGAAGTCCTTTTGTGTTAAGTTACGATTTTCGCTATTCCATACTCATAGAAAATTCTTCCGACCGCTCTGATAGAAAATGAGGTAGAATATGTATGTTGAAATAAACAACTGCGGTCGATCCTAGCAGTCGAGCCCAACATTTTTTGTGAAACGCATAATTGAATTGAATTGAACAACTGCCGTTATAATCCAAATATTTTTCCATTTTACGAATCTGAGTTATGATTGTAAAAGATGTTAAGAAATGTGTATTCTGGAACAATTGGAGCCCTGTTTTTTTTTATGTGTGTCTTTTACATTACCACTACAATACTTAAAGATACAATAGGGCTGAAAGCCAGCGCCCCTTCCCTGTTAAATACTTCTAGATTATTTAACTTAGATTTTTCCTACATATTGAACAACGAAGCAGTATGTGCAGGGGATGTGGTTGTTGTCATTGTCATCACATCTTACTGTGGCAATATAGACACTCGTAATTGGATAAGAGAAGCATTAAATGGAGACGACTTTGTAAGACTCAATATTAGAAAAATATTTCTGCTTGGAAAAGCTCCAGATAACAATTACATATTGCAGACTTCTGTTACAAAAGAATACAATAAATTTAAAGATACAGTGCAAGGCAATTTTTTGGAAGCATATAGAAATTTAACATACAAGCATGTAATGGGGCTAAAATGGGTGAATGAGTTTTGTTCCAATGCACAATATGTGATTAAAATGGACGATGATATAGTTTTCAATATTGAGAGGTTGAAAGAGTTGTTAAATTCTGTAAAAGAAGTTTCTAAATCGGAGTTCATTGCTGGTTATGTTTTAAATCATTATCAACCAATAAGAGAAGTTGGTAACAAGTGGTATGTAAGTAGACAAGAATATATAATGGATTACTATCCCAAATTTGTTTCTGGGTGGTTTTATATAACAAATCCCCAAACTGTTAGTAAAATTATCTCTCTCACATATACAATTAAATATTTTTGGATAGATGATATTTACATTACAGGGATTATTGCTAGTACTCTTAAAATCAAGAGGTTTGATATTAGTCAATATTTTACACCACATTCTGAATTTCTATACTGCTGCATGGAAGATGTTAAAAACAAAGTAGGTTGCGATTTTATTATAGGCCCTAATGGAGGCAATGAAATTTTGATTTTTACATTTAACAAGAAGATGAAGCTATGCAAAGGCAATTGCCAAAGGAGAAGAAAGTCCTTCAACAAAACCTGTGTTGTCAACAAACATGTTTATTTGGAAAATGGGAAAGCAAAAGTAAAAACATATAACCTGAAATGAATAACCTAGAATAATGAAAGGTATGTACGGAGGTCTAAAATAAGGTGTGAAAATGTTAAACGCACTAACTCCAATTAACTTTGCTGAAAAATAACTTGAGGAAATGAAGAATACACAACATATTATTGAAGCCGGAAGTTATGAGAAACCAGTTTACTAACTGCTCTTAGATAAAAATCAAATCTTATCTAACATAAGATTTGCATAAGTTTGCTCAATAAATTTTGTTAATAATGTTTATTATTTTATTGATGTCTATTACCCAGAATTTGTTTTCATGTGTATTGTGCCAATAACAAAAAAGGTACAAATAATTGTTGTACACATAAGTATGTGTCAGTCTTACATAAGTAAATGCATTTTCAATTACATATAGTCGATTATAATGTAATAGGTAAAAGTTTACCCTTAACTTTCTACCATACATGAATCTTTTACAATCAATAGCAGTAAATCTCCAAAGCTTGAACTTAAAATGTATAATGTTTCTAGCAGAGATATGTGGTCATTATTCCCTAACCTTAAAAATTATAAATTTGAATAAGGTTCGTGTTTGTATTTTACAACCCAAACGTGGTCTATAATTTCTCCAAGTTTGTCGTCGGAAACCTAAAATAAAAATAAGGTAAACTGTTTGGCATAAATAGCCGCAAATTTGACTTACCTGTTCCCAATATAAATGTGTAGAGTTGTAAATTTTAAGTCTTGTATAACCATAATCTCTGCTTATAAAAGCAGACCAAATGGGTCTTGTGTCATTAAAGTTTTCTCTTCCCTCTTTGCAACCTGCAGAACCTGTTGTAAAATGAATAGGAGCCTTTGGATTAACATAAGGTTGTTCAAAACTGCCATTATAGACCTATAGTTTTACATATAAATTAATAGTATTACTATAATGCTAACGTTATTATAACTTACAGTATAATTGTAGATAGGCCATAATCTTTCATAAGAATGTTCATGTGCCCAAATTTCTAAGTCGACACCATAATTGTAAAACAATTTTTCTAAACCAAACCAACGGAGAAATGGTAATCCAATTCTAGTAAATGTGGCATGATTAGTACAATCATCAGTGTTTGAATTGCTGCAATACATTGGACGATGGCCTACCACAATGATCCATGGATGCTTTTTCCTAGAATTTTTAATATCAACATGTCCAATGCAAATTCTTATGCTTGTACCGATTTTCTGGTAAATTTGCTCGAATTAAATCTTCTTCAAGCCATTCATACTGAAAAACTAGAGGCTTTATTCCGTAATTTAAGAAATAATATACTTCGGTTGATATAGAAATAATATGTGCAGGGCCTATATCTATACTAAACATAAGAGATGCTGGTGATTCATGCATAGTAAACCTTTCACGATAATTACTAAAATTGCTAAAAAGACACAAATGAGCGATCTGGTAGATATTAAGTTAAATACATACTAAGCTTCTTCATGATTTCCCGGACATGTCATATAAGGCAAATATCCCGCTATGCTCTCTATTTGCCTCATAAATTCATCTCCAACTTCAGCATTATTCTGAAAAGGTTTTTTTTAGTAACGTAATTAAAAAATTTCAAAATGATTCTCCTTCCAACAATATTACAATAATACAATTTTATTAAATGATGAAAGCAAATCAATCATCAATTATTTATTTAATTTGAAGACAGTTTTACTTACACTATCCATATCATATGCAAAATCTCCAATATGCAAAACAGCATCATACAGTCCCCTCTGGGTCTCTTCCTGTAATCTTGCCAAAGATTGGGCGTTTTCATTACCCATATCCCCATAAATTACCAAATTTGGAGACCATTGATCATCTTCGGGTGGTGTTTTAAACCAAAAAGTGTTTGACCAACCTTTCTCACTTCCACAATGATATACTATAAAACTTGAAAACTAAATTGAACCATTAAAAATGACACAAAACTTACAATATTTGCTATTACTAGATAAATTATCCAGCAATACTCTGTGTATGTACTGTGTATGTTTTGAATATCCACCATCTACAAATATTTTGGAAGAACCATTTACTTTTAAAACAAGACCATCAATGCCATATTCGACAATTGACTCCGTATTATTAAAAGTAGACCATGTTACTACAATCTGTTTTGTAGTTCGTCCGTATGAGATATGTATTTGTTCCGGTTGAAAATAGAGAACTTGACTAAATGTGTAATGCAGTTGCACAAGAAAAAAGGTTGTAACAATTAAAGTACTGTACGAACCCATGGCAAAATCGAATTAAAACCGAGATTTTCTCGAGTTGTTAATCGTCTTCAAATCTGTATAAAAATATTTTAAATAACGAAAATAAGCACCCATGGTAATATTCGGATTAGGTCAAGCTAGGTCAGTTCGGAATAATATTGATAATAAAGTCGAAAACAATTTTCATAAAATAATAGATAAGAGCAATTAATTGCTTAAGAGTTTATTTTTCGACTCATAACCTATAAACTTTATGGTTCTCCTCTTTTACTTCTATTGACCATATTTACTAAGATAATTGGGTCACATCATTACATTAATACCAAAATCAGGATTGTATTGGTTATAATAATGCAATGCCCATAAAACTTTTTCTAAAACCATAGTCCCACCAGGGATTTATTTCCGACATGCAGGTAGCATGGCAGTGACGTCCGGTGATGAAATAATTGTTGTTATGATAACTTTTACAACAAACATTTCAGCTGAAAGGGAAATTTTCATTATGGCGTCTATGTCATTTTGGGAAACATACAGACGAATTGAAGAAGAGCATTGCACGCGGCAGTTTAACCTCCGTTCGCTCCTAGCAGAATCCGTTATATTCGTCCCAAAAACCTTGGTATCGGTCTTTTTTCGTATGACTCTGTTTCGACAGTGTTTGGTGTTCGTTTTTAAGTGTTTAAGTTCTGCCGGCGTAGCTGTTAACCGTTCACGCCGGTAGGGGTCCCGATGGTCCGTAGTATTAGCGGAAGCGGGGGTATGGCGGTTTTTTTGGTATCGGTCATTGATTTTTTGTTAGCTGAGCAAATATTGATTATATTTCTTCTTTGCACGTGTTGGTCTCTGACCAAAAGCGAAAATCCTCAACGGAAGTCGGCAATGGGCAAATGATCCTAGCAGTCTCTCCCAATAGTAATTATAAATGTATCAATTTACTTGTACTGTATACATTATTTCAAGGTGCCAAATTTTATATGAGTCCCTCATTGCTGCCAATATTGTTGCATCTATTAGTGGTCATTCAGTTCTTTTCTATCTTAACTCCTTTTTGCCTAAAAATTTAATAAGATCTGGACATATTTTGCTGCAATAAAAATCCCGTATCCAAAATTATTGACGATCTGCCGACGGCCATGATTATTATTGAATGGTCATTGGTTACTTTTTAGTTAGTTGGGTTCTTTCTTTCTTCTTTACTTCTAATGGCCACCACTGCATAAGGTCATTCGGCCAGCTTACACAATTTTTCACATTATTCAGTTATCCTAAAGAATGCCTTCTTAAGAGAAGGGTCTGGACCAATCCATCATCCTCCAGGTTTTTGTTTTTTACTTATACAAAAACGGAAACTTCTAAATAAATTGTCATAAATTGACGACCGATTCTTCAAACGGCTCCAGCAATTAACTTGTATGGGTTATTCGATCCCATCCGGCCTGGTTACCAGCGTGAAATAGGACATTCGGAAACCGTATTTACATACACCCCGCGGAATTACACATCACAAATCCGTGTACATCCACGTAAGACGAACACTATTTCCCAAACTTATACGCACTACATCTCTATCACTTCCGATAACGAATGAATATAAGTAACAATATTTTCTTTAAACGACACTAATTTCGACCGATTTCTATAAATTTTTTGGCACCGGGCAAGAGCAACGTCCGCCATGTGCAATGGTTCCATCGAAAGTAGTTAGTTGGGTTAGATCTTAAATTTCGTACGCATGTTGAATGAACCTTCTCAACAATTTTTGCATAGGAAAATTCATCGCGTATGTCTGTTATCTGCGAACAATCATTCTGGCCAAACTGTTTGTGCAACGCGCGAAGAAGAATTTAGAAAAAGATCTTTGGAGTTTGGAGGCTTATTCTCTGTTTTATAAGAAGGGCGCGAGGCCATTTAGGAATATAATACCATAACATTTTTTTATAAATATTCATATGCAATTCTGTTTGTTATGGACGACTAGTTTGGCTTGATATGGTAAATACATGATATATTTTGTATCTTTAGAGAAGTGTACGTGTAGTTGCGTACTTATAAATTTGGGTTATGTTTCGAATTTGGCTTGTTTCAGGAGGATGTCACCAAATTGACCAAGGAGGAATTTCTGAAGTTTTTAAACTGTCCCCAGTCCTCTTCACAACCCATAAGCTTCACAATTTTTGGACCCAACAATCAATTAATAAATCTTACAAAGCAAGGTGGTTTATATAAAGCTTGTGGTATTGAATTAGAAGAAAACACAATTAATAATATAGTACTGAGAATTCCTTTGCCAAAAATAAATTTTACAGGTAATATGCTTTGTACTAATTAGTTTAAATCCACTATTTCATTTGAAACCACATTTTTAGGCCTATCTTTGAAAGAATTAGCGGGACAATTTGAAACTCAATTGGCCATAACAAAAAGGAAAAAGCATAATGCTGTAGTATCACAATTTAGTAGAAACTTGAACAAAAAAAAAATTGCTTTGGCAAATCCAACTGGTAAAAACAAACTAAAAAGCAGTATAATGGATACATCTCATAAAGAAATGAAGGGTGATTCAAAAGATCACCAAAATTTTATACTACATAGTCTATTATCAAACAAACCAACTTATTATTTGAGTTTCCCTCGGGTTAAGCATCCAGAAGATGGAAGATTAAATTATGCCTTTGAGACCCTTGTAAAAGACATTAAGAATATGAAACTTCCATCAGCTTCATGGAAAATTAAAGTCATTGTAAGAAATAATAAAATCTCTGCAATAATTTTTACAAATAAGTGTGTTTTGGAACGGACTGTCACTTTTAGTGCTAAAAGTGAACTGTTTGAAATTGTTATTGAAAACAAACCTGCTATATTATTAGGTTGCCCACCAACTGTTGAGTGTATCAATGATATTGAAGTGCTTTTAAATATTATTCATACTATTAGTGCTAACAATCCAATGGTATTTTATAAGTAGTAAATTATTATGTTAAATGTAAGAATTTTGAATAATCTGTAAGTGTAATTTCCAATAAAAATTATGTATTCTTTGTTGTGGTCCTGGCAATTGATATCTCCTAAAATAATTAAAAGGAAAATATTTAAAGGTATTAAGCCGGATATTGCTACTTGATTACTACTATTAATTTGTTGAAACAATTTTAAAAGTTTTCTAGTGGTAAGAGAAAATACATTAATAAAATAAACAAAATTTATGATCCAGATTATAAAAAACAATTTACAATTTTACCATAATAAATGTGCAAATACATGAATAATTATTTAAATTTAATTTATGTACATCTTAATTTGAAAATATATAATGAAATAGATTACTTTAAACAAATACACATTACTTATTTACAGGTTTTATGGGATAACAATTAAGAAAAAAATTGCATTGGTTCAAAGTCCCTGGATCAAGGATCACTGTTTGACCTTAATCCTTTGAGATTCCGAATGTTCCATTTTAGGGACAGACTGTTGTAAGTTAATTTTATTCAAGAAACCGTGAATTTGAGCTCTGTATTCTTCAGGATACTTCTTGAAGTGTCCAACATGGGGAGATTTTTCAAACAATTTCCAGTAAACCTAAAATATATAGAATTTCATACATTGCATTCACAGAATTATAAACAATATCCTTCACAACTGTGATCAATCTAAAAATTAAAACAACATTTTTTGAGGTACCTTTATCCCCATGCTTTCCCAGTTTTCCTTTACTCTCTTGTTGGAAATTTCAGTTCCAATAGGATCTGTTTCACTAAGCAAAAATAATGCCGGAGCTTTTACCAAGTTCGTATGGAACATTTGACTTGATCTTATATAATGCCTCGTTGCAACCTTGTCAAATGTTTGCATATGATATCTATACAAAAAGAAAAATTTAATAAATATTCAAAATATAAATTTGACCATGGTAGCATTCATAACATACACTGGAGAATCTTTGATGTCTACAGTATCTACACACTTCTGATGGAACATTAGACGTTGAATGAAATTTTTAGTTTTTCTGTCTAGGAAGACAATCTTATTAGAAAAAAAACTATAATATTTTAAATGTCTTTGAGCTTACTACAATGAAACTTCATCAATTCTCACAGACCGTTTGACCCCTATATGATCAAAGAATGTATAGAAAAGTTGTGATACGATTTTTTATATATACCTAGGCACTATGTACAATGAACTTTAAAATAAATTCTCCTCAAAAATAAAATCAGAATTAAATTTAACGTAAAAAGTCTTATTTTTGATCTACAGAATAAGTATAAAATTTGGGGTAAGTTATAAAAAAAATCATATATTTCTTTTAACTATTTTTTCTACTTATCCGTGAACCTTGGCGAGAAAATTCGGATGGCCCATTTTCACCTAAAGTTGAAAATATTGGAAAATTTGGTTGTACACTAATGACTAATAGGCGAAGGAAAAACTTACAATATATATTGACCCAAAGCGTTGGCCATCAATTTATTCCTGGGAAAAACTGCTGGTGGTACTCCTTTGTGTATTTCAGTAACATCAGCAGCACTGTCCCAAATTTGGCCCGCTATTCGGTCAAGAATGTGTTTATACTGGTGCTGTTTGTGGGCCATTTTTACCATTACCTCGCCCCATAGGTATCCGCCGACCGAAAAACCGTGCAAAATTATTGGGTTAAGAGTTTGGTTCTTATCCAGGAACTTTAAAATATCGGATGCAACAACCTGGGTTCCTTTTACGGGCCACAAAAACTGCCAAGGATTAACGCTGACGTTTAAAACGTCAAAACCTTTTTCGATATATATCTCGGCATATTTGTAGGTATGTTTCTTTTTCGCCATCAGCCATGAAAGCAAAACTACCAGAGGCTTGTCGTCAACGTTTTCTAATTTAAAATCGGTGACTTTAGTGTTTTTCTTTTCATTTGACAACAATGACATATTTTTCGATACTTCTAGGCAAGATATATTTCTAACTGGAATAATCATAAAACCCTAAAAACCATTAAGCAATTATTTCGTTTAGTTGCATTTACTACTTCTATTTCATTTAAAACCGAGTTGGCTGCTACAATATAATTTGCAAGGTCGAGTGGAAGAAGTTTGTTTTTCTGCCTTAAAATTGAAATTTAACCGAGTTCTATATGTGTGATTTTTTATCGTCGACACACTATATACCTAGTACGCATTCACCCAACATTAACAAGATGTTCTATGACGCAGGTGATTGACGACATTTCGATCGTGTGCGACAAAAAATGTCTTCTTTATCTACACAATATGTACAGACTGTCGTCTCAATTTAGATGGATACCAGCCAGAGTATATATTATCAATATTGAGAGCTGTTGTACTGGTTTTAATTTTAAGAGAAAATGGCAGGTTGATAGGAAAAATTCAAATCCCATTAAAATGTACGCCTATATATAAATTTTGTTCTCGTGTAACGCGACCTACCTTCAGCAAATTATACAATAAAAAGTATTGGCTCTACTTTATTTTTTGTTTTCCTTTAAATTATATTTTATCAATTAAATAATCGTAATGTCTATTTTATAATTTCTTATTTTTTACTACTTTCCTGGACAAAAAAAAATTATTAGGTAAAGCATTTTACAATGAAAGTTTAGATAATTATATCTGCTTTTTTAGATAACATTTTTATCAGCTGATGCGTTACGTTGCTCAAGGGTCTGGTCGAGCTCTAGTTTTATTACGTTGCAGATGCAATTTTTTAATTTGTTGCCGTCAAAATTCAAAAATGCCACCAGAATAAAGACGGTACTCAAAAGAGAGTTACTACAATTTTTCTTTTTTCAAAATATATGTTTTAATCATTTCCATCACTACGGGCATGGTATTGCAAAAATAGACATTAGAGACTAAAATAATAGCTCTTCAAAAAATGGTTGTTTTATTTAAGATAACTAGGCCAGTAACACAAGCTACTACAGTTATCAGCATATATGTAACTTTTTTTATAACAACTTCACAGTAATTTTCATTGTAGTATCAAATTTATTAGTATTTGTAGTTACAGAAACATTACCTTCTAGAATTGTATGGTTTGTGTGACAGGTCCCTACTGTAGTCCGTTTTTATTGCATGCATGAGAAGTTACCAAGTGAGAAACATTAAAGATTTTTTTATATTTGGCAAATGGCGGGTTTTAAGGTGTAAGGTGTTTTAAATGAATATTTGCAATTTTGAATCATGTTTAATCTGATTTAATCTGACTTTTTAGGTACTGGCATATTCTTTAATATTTCAGAAAACCTTCAATAAAGATTTTTCGGCAGCTATTTTATAGTTTAGGAATAAGGCGCATTTAAACTTACCAACAGAATTTTTGGAGACCTCTTCATATGTTCTCGATTCAAATTTTGTAGCTTATTTTTAAGAAAAAGACATGTCTTTGCGAAAGCCATTTCCAAAGATTAGGAAAACTATAAACAAAACAAGTAGATAATATCGTCGGTAAATATCTTACAAAGTTATAATATAACGAATGTCCTATCCTATTTGCTAACTGATTATAGAACAAATGAGTCGTTTTTATATCTAGCTGATGAACGACATCATTAAAACGTTCAAATTATTAAGGTTTTTGTAATAAGTAGGTGCCAAAGTACAATTTCGATAAAAGTAATCATTTTTAAACCTAATCTAAAAGCAATGTTTTTTATATTTTATGTAATATAATAACATATAAAAATACCTTGGACTTCTCAGTTCAATATACGTTTTCATTAAATAAGGTATCGAATATATTATATTATCATATATTTTACATTATTATAAGCTAACTTTTAATACCTTATTATTGTGTTCGACTCGCACAGCGCTCGGTGTTTCACAGATCTTTTACAAAGTTTATTGCCAAAATTGTAGGTTAGAGTCCGGATATTTCAGATATTTTCCCAATTTTTACATAACCGAGATATGAGAAAATTGAAGTAATTTTTTGGTTATAAAAAAAATTCTGTTTATTTTATAGTTTATTATATAGTTTTATTTTTTTACAAACATTCTGATTCAAACTTTTTGAGTTTCATCTTCCGCATTTACGTCATCAAATTTAAATTTCAGTTAAGTTACTTAAAGCGCCATATTTTGCACTTTTGAGGCGTTATTTTTTCAAAGTAGGCTCCAACGATCTTGTTTGAAATTATTATTTTAGGACCATGATATGACCCTCTCTGACATTTTTATACATAAACACTTCATAACTACTGAAATGTTATTTTAATATTAAAATAAATGAAGTCTAAAAAAAAGTTTCAACTATTTATGGCGAACGGCGAAGGACGATATACACACGATATAGTTTGGAATAAATAAGATTATATATAAGATATTGCTCAAGAAACATATCCGACAAATATTTTACACATTTTACATTAAATTTTTGATTAATTGAATGTAAGGGATATTATTTTAATATAAGGGATATAATAGCTTTGTTCCAAGCACAGTGAGAAACCGGTTTGGAATTGTAAATTCTTGTCACTCAACTAATTTTTTGATACGATGAATGTTTCTTAACTGACAAAAATAATTTGAGTGACAAGTTTACAGTTTCAACCCGGTTTCTGACTGCGCTTGGAACAAAGCTATTATATACATATCGTAATTTACAACAACGGCATTGTACCCAGTGCGGACTTTAAACGTTTGAAAAACATACAAAATAATCGCCATTTAAGGTATTTTATACAGTTGTAAATAAAAATTTTATTGTATTAAATTATTTAAATCTCGCTCTATACCGAAAAGAACCTACCTTGCGAATCGAAATAAACTGAAGTTTATTATTTAAATTAACACACGCATGGATCAGACAATTCCAAATACACACACAATCGATGATTTTTTTACTTAATTAACTCCGTGTATCCAACTACCAGCAGCCGAGTAACCAATAAAGCGAATTAATGATGTTCAATAAAAAGTAATGAATATAATATACTCATTCTAACTTGGACTGTCAGACAGACACTCAGAAATCACGTGATATTTACGCTGTCAAGGTCAGACATCCGGAAACAGAGGGAGCCATAGATAACGGAATTGGTATGGGTAAACGACCCTTCCATAGAAAATAATCCAGAATTCAAAACTTAAAATATAACATCATTAAAGGTGACCAAGATGACTGGAAACTGAGAATAGCTTACATATGTGAATAATTTAGCGATATTTTTATATAAATTCCCCAATAATCCTTTGAATAGCGGAAGTCCACTTTTTGGGTTTAACGAAACTTCTCTGTAACCTCCCAAAATATATTATGCAAAAAAAAGCAAACATTTACATGATGCACGAAGGCAAATCATCTGTCTAATACTTGTAGTTATTTGTAGTAATTATAATTGAACATTATATTTTATATTCCATGATCCCCTCATAACCCTAACCCCAAGTTTCCTTTTGTTAGGTTAGCAATTTATTTATGTTTGTTTTTAGTTTAGATGTTAAGAATGACTTCGTGGTATAGCTTTCTGATTTATATTTAACATGTCAATTTTTAACACTTCGTTGGTTCTAAAGCAAGGTTACATGGTCAAACGGTCTCAAAATAAAAAACTGTATACATTAGTGAACTTCAAAAAACGTTGGTTTGTGCTTACTCGAAAATACCTTATTTATTATGATGATGAAAATGAATCGGTAAGTAGATGTACATGCCGATTATGATATGAAATATGTATCAATGAAGTAATGGTTCCAATTAGCATTTTAAGTTAAGTTTTTTTTCGTTAGTATATAGAAAAATAGTAAGAACTTTTATGAGATGTTTTTTTTAATTTATACTTTATTTTTTTATCTTTGAATGCGCCACAAAACAAAATCATTTACCCTGTCATTAATTGAGTTTTATCTGACCAAAATACCCCCTTTTGCCCTGTCCACATAGGATCCGCTTATATTGAGCAAAAACATTCAGTTTGACGCCAAATTTTAAAACTTTTAATAATCACAAGATGCCTTGCAAATACTTTATAGATTGGTTTTTGGTCGTTTTCCCACCAGTGAGGAAAATAAAGTATTACGTCTTTAACATTGGGGGTTTGGAGTATATGTTAAATTAAACAAAGTCGATATTTGTTTACTTGAAAATTATACCAACAAAACGACATAATATTTTTGAGATAAGTATAATTTAGATTCCGCGCGACTAGTTATTAGTTAGGCTGTAATGGAAGTATAGTTGGTTGCCTAATCAATGAGTTGTCTATTTGGGAGCCCCAGGTGGAATTACACTGCCTGCAGATATTTTATTAATAATAATGGAACTTTCAGTTGCCCATTTTATATGCCACATCAAGGTTCAAATGATTGAGAATTATTATCGTCGTTCAAAATTTTAATTTTACAAAAAAAAATGTGCTTTTAAAAGCGGGTCAAATTAACATGAAAGTGTGATACAGGGTGATTCGATTTAAACACATTTGGTGGGGTTATCTGGGTTATTAACAAGATGCGTAAAGACACGTATCGTATGTTATTTATGGTAACAGCGCAACAACATTAAAATTGTTATAAGTGGCGTCCTAGTTTTATCTTAAAGAAACTTGAAGATTTATTTTAATTTAAATGTTAGAATTGGTTCCATAATTGGACTGCGTAAAACTGAATTTTTGTATTTTTTTTTTAAATTTTTGAAATTATTCCAAATATTTCCAGCAACATTTAAGGAATCAAATCTCGTAATGCGCATATGCAAACAAAACTAAAGAGCATTCGCGCAGAACAATGTTTGTAAGATTTAATTTGAAAGTGTTAAATGTTAAACTTATTTGATCGAACAATTTGACAATTTAAATTTTTGCAAAATCACTGAGTCATAGTTATTTTTAGAGCTTTAGAACCCGAAGTTGAAAGAGTGAATTTTGTGTGTATAAGGGTGATTTGAGCTGTGAGGTGTATGTATGACTGTGTCCGTGTGTGAAGGTTTATGATATATTGAAAAATCTAATTTGTTTTGTGCTTTCGTAATAGTTAAGTCTAAAAAATTAATAGAGATTATGTAATGAATTAATGTAATTTAAAAAAGAATTCAATTGTCTGTCCTTTCCAACAAAGCAAGCCAAGACACCATCCACGTATCTATACCACCATAAAAAAACTTTGACTTAAAGGATGTTCTAGTATGACATTTTCCAAATTATCCATAAAAATCTCGGCTAACAAAGGACTAAGTGGGTTTCCCATAATCAAACCTTCTTTAGAGATGTAAATCATTAAATTCAAAATAATTTTGGTTTAAAGATAAGCAATCTAATAAATCTTGTTTCACCAATGGGTTAACCTGTTTCCGAGTTAGGGTGAAATCTACTAAATCTATCACACCCATAGATGGAATACTGGGAAATAAGTTTGATTCCTTTTCTTTAATGGTACCAAAGTGAAACGCATATTTCAAAAATGAAAAGAATATATAGGGTGGGTTATCAAAAACAGCGAACTAGATGCGCAATTTTCTTCCAAACCTGGAAAATTTCTGCATTACGTTACTGAGCGCAGCCATGATGCAAGAATTATTTTACAAATTTTTAGAGATAGGTATAGCAATATCTGGATAAAATCGGCTTTATTTTTTGTACAGACGGTAAAACCGAAATATAGCAGCTGCCTTTTAAATCCGGTAAGATATTATGCCACTTGAATGTAGAAGTGGCAACATTGGGCGCTTCAAAATATCTTATAAGTATATATATCAATTCCGCGGCCAATATAATTTTAAATAAACGATGTGCATAATGAATGTTTTTTACTATATTGCACTTTTCTCATAGGTGTAGTTTGAATTAAATGTTTAAATCTACGCTACTGGTTAGATTAAATTTAATCTAAACTGAATTAGAGTCAATTGGCAACACCGCGAAAAGTGCGTATTGGCTTTTATGGGGGAGGCGAGTATACAAGAGTTCTTCTCAAAGGGGCGAGAGTGTCTGCGCATAGAAACTGGGTGGGACTTTAGTCGATTTTCTAACAGCTGGGGTATTTTTGTGACGCTATTCTCCCACGAGTTGGTAAATGGAATAAATAATTATAATTGGTATGTTGCGTTGCTCAATTGCTAATGTGATCGTTATGCCTTTAGAATTTTAGTGCATGAATTTTGAAGAGATGTGAATATTTCTAGTGACACTTTAAAAACTTTGTAAATAATGAGTTTAAGTTTAATTGGAACGCAATCTTATTCGAGTATAACATACGGCATTACCTTAATAATCACCTCCGGTCATTATTAATTAATTTTGAACATGCAAATTCATACTATATATAGTGGAATTACTTTGCGTACAAATTGAGAGCACAGACGACATAAGCATTCCATATTGGGCGTCAGAGGCTCGTTTTTAGATAGTTTAAAACTCTAGGAGAAAGTGCTTTTTTTTGATAAATTAATTAGTTTGGTAATAGAAATATATTTATCTCGTCGCAATAAATATCAATTATAATTAATTTGTAATTGATTTAACATACCAACTTTAATTAAAAGATTCTGTTTTTTATTATCTTTTTGCTAAAAAATAAATTGATAAGATTTTATTACTTCCATTGATTTACCCAAAGTCTGTTTCAGACAGGTTTGCTTAGCGGTAAATCTTCCCATAAACTTCTAGTGTCCACGCTCATAAAGGAACACAGCTACGGATTTTTGATTTGAACAAAAATTAATAGTTACAAAAAACTTAAAAGCTATAATTATATTTATTTGAATAAATTATTTAATATATAATATGTTTATTCTATTCTATTCCTAAATTTATTATAATTGTTTTGGTTAGTTTGTTTTATAAAATTATTAATATCCAACTTCATAAGTGACAGACTTTTTCTCGGCCTCCGAGGGACTACAGGAATATATTGTTTACAATTTTTTTAATAAAGTTTATTATAGAAGTACTTTTACTACTACTAATACTAGCCGAAAAACTGAAAGACTAGATGAGTTTCTTTATAATAATTTGCGAATAGTCATATGCTTATTGGTCAGAATATAGATTACTTTCTCTCTGACCATGTTCAGACAAAACTATTCCAGTGAGTCAAGATGATCAATATCCCATCATTTTCAGGAGAGAAGATAGTTTTAACTTTAGAGAAACTAAATCCATGTAATATTAACCAAATTCCAAAAATATTTTGCATCTGTGTTTTGTTAGGACGCTTTCACACCTTTCCTTCGTATTTCTTTAATACTTTCCCTATTCATCTAGGCGCCTTCTAAGACAGGAACTTTTTTTTTCAAAATGGTAATAAATTCTTTCGCATTTTAATTTCTGGAAAAGGTAACACTCCTAAAATTTGCTCATTTTTAACAAAACTTATTTCATTAGCATTAACAGCAAAATTCTGCTTAGTTTCGTCAATGCTTTTTAGTCCCAATAAATTCTACCTCACTATTGAAGTGTTTCTCTTTCCCCCTTTAGAATTAACTAAAAAGTTTTTAACCGAAAGAGGCGTTGCTCTTCTGGGGAAAATTAAGTGATACTACTAAGACATAAATGTTGGTCACTATTCTCTTCGACATTGCTTTTACTTTTAGATGGAAGTGTCTTTTTGATTCTAGAACCATTATTTTTAGAGCCCTGCTTTCTTTTTACTGTTCCATTATTTGTCTATTTTTTAGTCTGAATTGTAGTCTTCTGTGAATTTTTTTCTTGTGCTGACTCAGGATTGAATTGTAGGCACATTTTCTTTTTTCTTTGGAGAAAAACAGTTTTTTTCTGATATATCCTGTAGTAGAATTATATCTCTGGCATGGTTTGCCTCGCATTATTCCTACATTTTTGCAGATACTCGGGTTTTCTTAACGATAACACAGCTTGATGGCGCTTTATAAAGGCTGGTATCAATCATTTTCTGGACGGTCATAGCATATTCTTGGATAAGATTAAGTAACTCATCCCTATCGCATCATCATCAACTATTTTATTTTCAGTGTCTTGATTTAAATCTCCCATGCAATCTTTGCGAAATCACAGCAATCGGTATGCCGTATAGTTCATAAATTTCCATTTTGTACATCCTTGACTGCGTTTTCAAGTTCTTGCTTAGTGTATAATGAGCCAGTTGTTTTTCAAGAATAATTTCGTACCATCTAAAACAAAAAAGTCATGTGTTAAATACTTTAAATGAATATACCCATAGCTCTTTGGGGTAAAAGTAAACTTATGTTTACTTTTACCGCAAAACAATGTTTACATTTCCCCACCACTAGATTTGAACGTGGCAAATGTAAACACCAACAAGAAAAAAAAGCTTGGAGTCTTTAACCTTGAATCATTTACAAATCAATAAAATAACGTATTTTAAAAATATTAAACTTTTATAGCAATACTTACTTAAAATATAAAAAAATTTTTTAGCACATTTTAATACCACTGCAAAATTTTTGCAGCACTCTCAACAAACGGCAAAATGAAACTAAAAATCGCCGGTTGTCTATGAAATTCGTTATGGCGCCAATAAATGGACAGACAACCTTAAAGAAAACGATGGATATTTAAATCCGATCTTTTTACTTTATTATTAAATGTACGTAGACAAATTTTCATAAACCAGATTTTAACATTTAACGAGGGAAATAAAAGATTTCGCTATTTTAATAGTATATCCTAAAATGAATGTTATATAAATCTTGGCATGGTATTGTTTTGTTCGCTGACCCAATTGAGGTACTCAAGTTTTGTACTCCACAATTTGAGCAACAAAAAAGTGTAATGTTTGCAAATAATATCCTTTAGTTAGTTTTAAACTAAACCAGTCAATCAATGCCACAAAAAACTATTTTATATAAGAGAAAAAAATATTCAAATATGTTGACTGGTTCAATGTAAATATAGACTACATACTACTCAAGTTATCAAAATTGAAAGATGTTTTTATATACACACTCCACGCCACCACCACATACAATATGTTTATTGTTGGATAGGCCATATTGACGGTATTTTTATTTTTTCAGAAGAGGCGAGAAAAGGGGAGGGTTGAACTGGAACGGGTTCATACAATCGAAGCCGCTAACACTTTTTTCACCACTGAGGAAGTCGGTATAGAAGGCGAGTACTTCCCATTCCTGGTGGGCTACCACGCTGATGACGATTATACTCTGTTTTTGCTCGCCCTACAGCCTTTGGACAGAATAGAGTGGATTGTAGCCATAAGAGAAGGTACGCCAATTTTTCGGAAACCAATGCGAGCTCTCTTGAACAATCTTTATAAAAACGTTGTTTCTTTTCAGCTTGTGCCAACAATATAATTCTACGTTATTACTTCCACCCTGCTCCCTGGAACGGTAGGAAGTGGAATTGTTGCAAGTCCAGCACCAAATTAGCGGAGGGTTGTCGAGAGTGTGGAAATTGGCTGCCTAATAGCGTTACCGACGACAATAGCAATAAGGAAGAACTCGGAAGTAAGTAATCCTTTTTTTTACCTTGTTTATTAACTTGTTGATGTAAATGTGAGACCACTTCTAAGTTGATAGAGTTCAGCATAAGGCAGGTTTGCATTTTTATTGAACCCCGTTTTTTGCCAATTAACTTTGTGCTGTAAGTGTTTTTCTTTGTAATAAATATGTTTTCGTTTTGTTTTTATCTCGATTTGTTTTTTTAGGTCTTCAATTTTATTAATTTTTGGTGATTTTTTTATTTGATAAATTATATTATTATTAAATTATTATATATTATAAATAAATAAAATTTGTAGAAATTTATTTAAATTAAGAAAATATATAAATTCAATTGCTTGGTTAATGTTTCATATTTTCGCAATTTTATCACTGGGACGTGTCTAGATATTTTTTATATGTACTTATCTAATAGCATTAAAACACGGTTACCACAAAAATATCACGATATCAGATTCTTACAGTACATTAGATAAAAGTACAGATAAACGTTATCTCGCGTTGGTTGAACAGATTGAGAGCATTTGACGAGGATTTGTGACAAAAATGAAAATAAGAATAATAGGATGTGTGCGTCCAGTTTTTTGGACATCGCAAAATATATCTGGTATGCAATCACGTTTGATATTAATTTGCGCTCTATGCAACAGTTTTACTCTTGAGTTTTTTAGCCAATCGACAGTAAAAGCAACTAATTATCAACAACACCGAAAGTAATAACAAATATAAATCGGACTAAATATTATATTTTTAAATACGTATAATTAATACATATTATTTGCAAATCTAATATTAACCAAGTTTGGAATTTGATCTACGATAAGATTAAATTTTTATTTTCAAGCGCCACTTCCCTCACGATTAATTATTTACTAACGTTTGATATAAAACTAACAAATGCTAAATTTTGATATAGTCCACGCCCACTATTGCTAATAGAATGTTGTGGTTGGAATAAAAGTGATGCATAATATGAAATCTTAAATTGGGAAAAATGGAAACAATTGTGTTTCGCCGCGCTGAAATCAAAAAGCTAGAATATTTTGACCGTGCATCAGTCGCATCAACACTAAAGAACCCGTTGGTGGTGTGGGTATCGCATAATAACTCATATCAAGTTTTTACGGTGTTGTCATTTGTCAAAAAGGAACCTTAAGAAAGATTAAATGAATCATCACTGATTTTTGTTTTCCTCGACATTTTATTGACGTCTGAGATTAACCTAACTCTTGTTTTAGATATATATTACCGGGAAATCTGATGTGAGGGGAAAGGAGCAAATACTAACCAAAACTAACCAGAATCGAGTTACACTAAATACTAAAGAACAAAGTAAATCGAAACCCCGAACTAAATGAAAATGATCCTAATCGTTCATCAAGACTGGCAGCCTTGCCGGCAGTAGTAGAGTAGTAGAAGTCTGCATCAACCTGTTCAAATTTTAAATATTGTGATTTATTAGCAAAGAAGAGAGAAACTAGTTCTACATTACTTACAAACTCTAAGAATAAAAGGAAAGAAATAGGGGTCTGAGAGATAAAAACAAAGAATTTTCACGCGGGAAGCAATAATCGTACTCTTTTCCAACAATTCTGCCTTTACTCAATATCGGGGCTTTATCCAATTTTCTTACAAGTAAAAAACCAATCGATATTTCTGAAACAGACTTTATCTAAACGAAAAATGTGATTACCTCAACGCAAGAAACACGTTTAAATATATCGTCTACTAGGAATCGTTCGTCGGATGTGGTGCTCGAAAATTGATGTTATAAACATTATTGCATGACAATAATTATTTGAAATTGCGCTGGATAGGCACGAATGCCGACTTTCGCGAAAAAAAAATCTGCGCGTCACAAAGGTTTTGTTTTTAGTTGCTCTTAAATGTTAATTTTAAAATAATAATATTTAACAAAGAAAACTGATATTTCTATTCTCCATTTTTGGTGCTACCATTCGTTTTGTATAGGTAAGTTCAACTAATGCTAACAGCAAAGTTATACGCGTACGAAACTTAAAATTTTTGTTGGATGGCAGCCGTGACCAATAGCAATAACACATAATGGTTAACAGTATTTATTTCACATTGTAACATGTTACAACGTTAGGTACAACAATTACTTAGGTACCAAATAAATTTGTCGTTTATTATCGTTGGTAAATGATATCTAAATATTCTGAAGTACAGGGTGATTCACGAACCATACGTATGGTATAGACGTATTCATTTCTTTGTCACAGTGCCAAATCATTTCACTTTTCATCATCTGCATCAAACTGCATTTTAGCTCTTCCTTTACATTTCTGGACCGGTCAAATAAATGTTCAAATTTTCGGGACATTTTCCATTGTAATTAAAGACGAACTCCCAAATTGATCGTCATACTACGTATATTCACCTACGTCAGTTTCGTTTGGATATTTCCAGGATTTTACCGCACGGGTTTGCGAGCAATCGAATGTTTTTGGAGATATTTCCCACGTATTGTTTCATGAAAATTTACCCAAAAACTAATGGTCGTAGAAAATAGTATAGTATGCAACAAGTTCGGTAAGCTTTTTAAGTTACTCGTTTATTAAACACTCGCTCTGCTGGGCTCCGCTCGTACCAAATAAACTCGTGAATCAAATGCCGTTTACCGCACTTGTTGCATAATATACTATTATAGTGAACTAAGAACTTAACTTATAAGTTCAAAATTTGAAACATTTCATTAATTTTAATAAAGCAACATATTCCTTTAATAAACCAGCTTTATTGATACTGGGGAAAAACGCAATTTTGTCCACTCTACAGAATAGGTAATTGTAAATTGCGCGCGTTCACTATTTGACGAATGGAAAAAAGAATAATATACTATATATATATATATATATATATATATATATATATATATATATATATATATATATATATATATATATATATATATATATATATATATATATATATATATATATATATATATATATATATATATATATATATATATATATATATATATATATATATATATATATATATATATATATAATGTTTCAAAAACGCGCCAATGCTCGGTTGCATATTTGTCGTAAAAAAGTTCATATAAGCGTAGGTCCGCAAATGCCTAATTTCCAAGATACATGTTTAGTACTGCCGTTTTACAATACGTTAAATATTGTTTGCCCGAATTTGTTGGAATTTGGCAACGTCGAATCCACAAAAAGCAGAACTTTTTAACTCTTGAGTATTTTGCATCGTTTTTATGAACATTTATTTTTTGGACCATTTGATTATAATAAACAATAAAACTACCAAGCTAACACCAAAGAAAATATTGAAAATGGCCACCATGATATGACCCCTATGATATAAAGATTTTGGACATTATGTTCCTTACGAATACACAGTACACTACTACTCTGCTACTGCTACTACTACCAACTAATTACTAGAGAAATTGCTTGCTAAATAGCTTCCTGAGATGTAAACAATTTTACCGGATTTATTATCTAGTAGCTGGTTGATGAATACGCGTTTATTAGGCCATGGTACCTAATCTTAGAACCTGTAAAAAATTAAAAAAAAAAGACAAAAATTGTTTGTTGTTTTTTGTGAAATTATTTTAGTGTAACAAGGAACTAAAGAAAAGAGATAAACTATCAAAATATGGATTGTGGACCAAACTTTTTGTTTTGCTAGTCAAATTATATTGCGTAATTTTATTGTATTTTTTTATTTATTTTATTTATTTATTGTATTTATAATACGTCATTAATGAAACAAAGCACTTTTACTCCAGAACGTATAAAGCAAACTGGTCCACTTGCCACTTAATTTACTATTAAAATAAATAAAAAATTTACATCTTTTTTTAATGCATAAAAAAATAACTGCCACTAGATAACCACCTCAATAAATCCATACGAATCGATAAATGTTAAAAGAGTTATTATTGCTGTAGCCAACATTTGAGGAACGGTTGTTGAAACCTGTTCTAACGGTCAACAAGTTGTTTCTCCTTGACTCGACAGTCTTCTTAACGCCATGTTTGATGGCAGGCGATCGTCTTTCTGCCCGCGTTAGTTACGTATGTAATGGTTTTCAGCTGTTTTCCGTGGTCGCAAAGGTCCGAAATTCATTGAAAATGCAGTTTGATGTGTTGGTAAACGTTTTCAGGAATGCCACTGGTATGTGCCAATTCATTTAGGCCAGTTAATTGAGAAAAATATGGTTGGTGATTGCGGTGAAGGTTTTTATTATTTAAGGTCATCCGCTGTAGATGCGATTAGCAACATATTTCTCAAAGGATACTTACGAGCTTCGAAATATAGCGCAGGTGTATTTAGTTCATTATTACTATCCTTATGTTTAGGAGTAACAAGACTGCAAAATAACCTAATTTATAAATTAGTAATACAAAACTAGGCCACTAAAATGACGTTTTGTTTAAATTGACCCACATTTCCATTAAAATATCAATTTTCGATAATTGCCAACCGAAATTATTTCCTTTTAAATTTCCATCTTAAAGAATGATACATTTTTTGCGAGGTGCTGTAAGTTTATAATATTTTTTTCCGGGAACGAGCGTTCAATTTATAATGTTTTCACATTATGCAATTTCTGGGTGTAGGATTATTCGCACCCGTTCGTAGTATGTCCGATTGTGGGACTATTTTCGCATCATCATGGGGGAAGTGGACATACATATTAAATCACTCAAAAAGCCACTTTAGATGATACAACAATCAGAGGTCAGTTACATTTGAATTGCGAAAGCACCTTTTTAAAAGTGCATTTTGCATACGCGATCCTAATTTGCACAAATTTTCAAAATTTGAATTTAATTTTTAATGCTTTTCTTGCCAAAAACGTAAAAATTTTGCATACATAAACGTTTGAAATTTAGCTGCCCTACTTTTATAAAAGGAAAAAAAAACATTTTGTTAGAGATTTTATCCCTTTTTTAAGAACTTATAAAAATGTAGGTATAATGAAAATGAGGAAGACTGTGTTAGTGAGTACGTAGTCTCCCTTGGAGTAGGCGTCTAATGCTGCATAATTCTGGCTGTAGGTATATTTACCGGTTTCGCAACTAGAGAGTCTCAACAGTTTCCGCAAGAAACAAAAAACCGAAGCCCAAATTCAATCGTCGAAACTATATCAACCTCGCATAAGGTACAACCTTTTTTAATTGAGAATATTTTGATGGCATAAATAGCAACGTCGAAGGCCACAAATTGTTTTTAAGAAAATAGCTGACGCCTCCTTTGGGCAAAATTTCTCAAAGGTAATCCACGAAAAATCAACGGAAAAACGGAAATTTCCAGCTGTCGATTTTATTTTGAAAGTTAGAAAAACGGGGTTTTGAAATGAACTTGCTAGATCCATGTGACGGGAGTTACATTTTAAATACCTGCTATACATCATAAACATCAATTGCAGTTTATTTTTGTATTCATGCATATATGATTTGTTTATAGGCACTCAATCAGGTACAATTATGCCCGGGGGCACTCCGGGTACTCCGTCTGCCCGTCAAAAGGACAACAAGCCCGTCCAAAGGTCTAAGGTGGTGGTGGCATTATACAATTATAAAGCCATAGAAAGTGGAGATTTATCTTTAGAGAAAAACCAGGAGTATGAAGTTTTGGAGGATTCTCAGGAACACTGGTGGAAAGTCAAAGATTCCAAGGGGTAAGCATAGGTGTTTACACGGACTATGAAAGTGAGTTTTTTCTCTGTTGTAAGCTGTAAGTATTGTAGCTCAGAGGGTATCATTTCTAACATTACGTTTCCATTAAAAACTAAACCCTAAGTAAAATTTCAGTAATACAACAGTGCATAAAATATTCATTACATTATTACGATTATTGCCCTTTTTTACGAGAGTTAAAATTAAAATATTTTTTCTACTCGTTATTCTAAAATTGCCGATACGTTTATGAACTTCATCAAATGTATCAAAAAAATCCGATCACTTCCAAAGCTGCGGCCGAAGTTGATGTCTTAAAGTGATGCTTGATTGGTGTATATGTGAGATTTTGGGAGTACAAAAATATAATTATATTCCCTATCCCTATGCGCATAAAAGTAAAAGCTGCGGGTTTGTTAAAGTATTAAATTGAAGTCAAATTATCAATTATTTCATATTTCTACTTATCTATACATTAAAATATACATTGAAAATAACATTAAAAACCTTGATAAAACTTTGAATAAAATATACAAATATTAAAATTTTTAATATTTTGAAAGAACCTAAATCCAAGGACGACTCAAGCATTATATTTTTTTTCTCGTGATTACATTTATTGGTTTAGATGGTCCTCCATAAAATGTGGCCTTTAATTTTAGCAACGTTGGATTCATTCCGAGCAATTACGTGAAGGAAAAAGAGTTGCTAGGTCTTCAGCAATATGAGTAAGTTTGCAGTAAAATAAAATTAACCAAGCATTTAATTTTGTACAACTATTTTTAGATGGTATGTAAATGATATGTCTCGACAAAGATCAGAATCTCTGTTGAAACAAGAAGACAAGGAGGGATGTTTCGTTGTAAGAAACTCGTCTACAAAGGGACTGTACACTCTTTCATTGTACACAAAAGTGTAGGTCACATTTTGTATATGCCCGTTTTAAATACTTTTCTAAATTATTTTTCAGACCCCATCCGCATGTAAAACATTATCACATCAAACAGAATTCCCGGGGAGAATTTTTCCTGTCAGAAAAACACTGTTGTGTCTCCATTCCCGAATTAATCAATTACCATAAGCACAATAGTGGAGGACTGGCATCAAGACTGAAAACAAGTCCTTGTGATAGACCTGCACCTGCTACCGCGGGTCTTAGTCACGGTGGGTTACCTTTTATTTTTATTTTGGATGTAACAGTAAAATCATATTATCTGCATCAGATAAATGGGAAATAGATCACAGTGAACTGATGCTTCTGGAAGAACTGGGTTCTGGACAGTTTGGTGTTGTTAGGCGGGGCAAATGGAGAGGATCTATCGACGTTGCAGTGAAAATGATGAAAGAAGGTACTATGTCTGAAGATGATTTTATAGAAGAGGCCAAAGTTATGACGTAAGCTATATTTATTGTGCTATGTTATATATATTTCTTAAATTTTGGTTCATTTACTCTTAGAAAATTGCAACATACCAATCTGGTGCAGTTATATGGTGTTTGCAGTAAAAATAGACCAATTTTTATTGTGACAGAGTATATGCGACATGGTTCATTACTGAACCATTTAAGAAGGCACGAGCAGTCATTAAGTAGTAACCAAGGTCTGCTTTTGGACATGTGCATACAGGTATCAATGCGGTTTTCATTTGTCAATTTTCAAATTATGTTTAATTTTTTTTTGTGGGAGATCAAAAGCTGAAAAAAACACTTCTAAATTAAAAAGACGAGATGAATTAATTTTATATATTTTAAATAAAAAGGACATATAAAAAAAAATTCAAAAAATTCATTGGCTAAGAAAAATCAATTTTATAACACAAACACCATTTCTTTTAGTTTATGTTTCAACGGATCTATAAACATTTTACTTTAAATCTTTATCATACAGCATGTTAAAAGTAGGAGCATTAAAGGGTTATGGTTTAAAGCTGAGAACTCCTTTGGTAAATTAAAAGAGTAGGACACTATTTGATTTGGTTATTAATCAGCGGCAAACGACATTCCAGTGATATTTGGTACACTACTTTGGGTCCTTTTCACAACTTTTCAATTTGTTCATTGGTAAGGAATATTATAATTTCGCAACATAAATATTAATTTTAAGTAAATTACCCTCTCTTGCATTTTTCTCTTGTTTCTTTCGGTTTTAGAATAAAGAATCATTATAATTGCTCATGTCGTTTTAATTGAGGTTGGTAGAGCAATAATAATTATTATTATTTTGATAAGTTATTGAGAAACTCTGAGGATCTTCGCCAGTGAAATAATTGAAAAGTTTAAAATGGATACAAAGTAAAAGAAATCAATAATAATAATTTTTTCAACACCATGTATTTCGAAAACGAAGCGACATTTCAACAGATTTTATACCACATTTTCGACTTAAAATTGGGTAAAGCATTATTCTCCTTCCTTTTGTCAGATAGGTTCAAGAACACCTTGTATTTTAAAAAAATAGATTTTCACTGCCGTGGTCAAGAGATCATGGCAGGAGCTGTAGGAAAATAATTTATAGCAATTTTTGTTATTTTTTGAAAATTAAATTCACTATATTTAACCATTTCCTAAAAAATATTGCTTTTCAATTATTTTTAGATATGCAAGGGTATGGCATACTTGGAAAGGCTCAATTACATTCATAGAGATTTGGCGGCGAGAAATTGTTTAGTTGGCACTGAAAATGTTGTAAAAGTGGCTGATTTTGGACTTGCTCGGTACGTTCTTGATGACCAGTACACATCATCCGGTGGGTCTAAATTCCCCATCAAATGGGCCCCTCCCGAAGTTTTGAATTATACTCGTTTCTCGTCCAAGTCCGATGTGTGGGCTTACGGTGTATTAATGTGGGAGGTGTTTACATGTGGCAAAATGCCTTATGGCCGTTTGAAAAATAGCGAAGTGGTAGACAGAGTTCAAAAGGGTCTAATTTTAGAGAAACCCAAAGGGTGTTACAAAGAGGTCTATGATGTAAGTATTTTTAGTTAATTCTAACCCATTTAAAATATCCAATTTTATTTTTTGTAGGTTATGAGAAAATGTTGGGCGCATTTGCCAGAAAACCGACCATCCTTTAGGATATTGAAGGACACTCTTCTAAATGTATCTCAAGGTATCTTAGTCGATTGACTGGCCCAATTTGTATGCGACACCGTGGCCAGAGCAACGTCCCCGTCGGGAATGCCCTGTACCTCTTCTCAAACGGACGATTATGAATTGGCTTGGTTAGGTATATGCAGAACACTCTGTAGGGAGGCCCAGCACACGAAGAAATTGAAATGAGTGGTGAAGCTGAATTTGTGAAAAATAACCAAACCTTATGTATTTATTAATCAAATACATAGTTCATACTGCCAAAGTAACAAAGCAGTGTGTGATTAAATTGAAAGTCTTCTAAGTGAGGCTTTTTTACATACCTTACACTCTGTACTAGTGTATTTTCTGACAAATTAACTAGGTTTTTTACCAAATTGTGATATTTATTTTTTAGTATCTTTATGTAATTCTTATATACCAAGTGAGACAAGAAATTGGAAACGCTGTAGCTTTAAGTTGTCCGAGACAGCGATTGCAGTAATGGCTCAATATAAGTCAAGAATGAAGTTTTTCAGCATTGTTTTCCCTTTGGGCTTAAATGCATATATTTACATTTTTTATGGTCCACTGAATTTATGCTTTTAAGTCCCTTTCATTTCTACTCAATTTGCATTTTTTGTGACCCACTGAATTTATACTTTTAAATCCTTTCAATTTATGCTATACATTTTTGAATTTTTAATATTAACACAATGCAGGGTACTAATAATATTCTCTACAAAATGCGGGTTTTTCTTAACAACAAATGGACATGAGAAACTAGAAAACAAGATTAAAATGCCCTTGATGATGATGAGCAAATTAAACGGAAGTTTAACTATTAAGTTTTTGGTGGTAGAGTGCAAACCAACTAAGATGCCCAGAGCAATCTTTGACGTCAGTGAGAAGAGAATGGATATCAAAATAAATAAGAACTAATAGTTCAGATTTTCACGAAATTATATATTTTCACATGACAATTGTTTCGACAACACCATGTCTTTATCAAATGTTTTGTGAAAATGGCAACTTTTAGTTTTTATTTATTTTGTTAAAATGGATTTTCATCAAGTAAAAGCCACCTCAGTTCAACAGAATGGATATGTTTTAGTCAGACAGATGAAAAGTATTCTACTCTCCTAAAAAGCTCTGTAGATTTGGGATAATATATTATTTTCTTCATTTTGCTTGAATATTCAGCTATTTATTCTCCATTAACATGTAATTAATATATAGTTTTATAAAAATAGGGACATTAAAAACTGCTGAGTGTTTCGCTTTTCTTGTATCACCCTTATAACAATGAATAAAATATTTTTTTTAACTTTATAATTCATTGGCCACCAAATGTTTTATAAACCACTTTTTATCTATAGCACTGCCTTTCAACAAACTTCTTATTGAAAATATTACCATAATACTGACATACTGACATCATTTACTTTGTGCGGTAACAAAATGAGTTTTCAATACAAATGTATATTAGTGTTAGTAAAGTTTTAGTGATCCGGAGGAACCTTAGTTGATTGTATAGCATAAATACATTATCTGTTGTGTTCGATGTATTGTGTTATCTTGTTACTACTAGCACTGATCTATGAAGAATAGTTATACTGAAATAAATGAGACAACAAATTTTAGTCGATTTTTGAAATCTTGTTCCACTACCGATTAAAAAGAGATATTATGCAGGGTATCCTCAGTCATAAAGGAAGATAAATAACATATTTCTGTTTTATTGCTGTATTCTAGACCCATGTTTTAGGTTAAAAACACCTTAGCTCAAAATGTACAAAGCCCGGAATGTACATAATTTGTAATGTAAGCATTTTACTTGTGATTAGATAACATTAAGAAAATGTTCAAAATTTAAAATGAATATTTCCTCATTTTCCCCTTAATATTTTTGATTGGGACTTTTACCCAATCTCCTAAGCATTGTGCAAGTCATACAATGAGGCAGAACAGCAGTAGCATACATTCTGGCATATTAAGTCACTCAACTTAGTATATATAAGTGCAATGACATAATATATTGTTAATATATGTTGGTATGAAGTCTTAATCTTCCTCTTCGCATGATACGAAAACGTGTTGCCTTAAAATGCGTCTCAATGTGTGCCTTGCCCAAATGTTTATTTCTATGCAATATTTGATGTTCTAAAAATCTGAAAAACAATAACTGTTGTGATAATAATAAAAACTATACAAAAATAATATATTGCCACTTTTTGTAATAAAATGAATTAACTGTTTTAGTTACTGTAAATTTCTGAATCCCATTTTTCACTCAAAATCACCCTGAACTTGTATAAATAAAATAAAACGTGTAAACTATACACCACTTTTTATTTATATGGATTGAAAAACTAGATTATCAAGACCCCTCACAGATGCTGGATTGTTTAGTTCTCCAGTTATTTTAATCGAATTAATAAGCAAGAAGGTTTGTGGAATTCTATAAACTGCAAATGAAAAAAGTTATATAGTTTCGTCAGCATCAGCTAGCACTAAACTTACAGTTTATCCTCATGTACTGCTTTCGCCTTTTTTTCTTAAAGTGTGTTTTTGTATGTGACAAAGTCTTTTCTATTACTGTTGCTTCAATTTTCGCCAAATCTTTTTGTATTAATGGGCGCCCTATTAAAGAAAACTCTGCAGCCCCAAGCACCATTATCTGAAAGTAAGAACATTAAATGACTGTTTGGAAAGAATCTATTATCTACCTTATCTAAGGAAATTTTATCACCGCAGTCTGGCGGCCAATATCCCTCGATGACAATAATATCGCCTTCTGTAATTTTGAATTGTTTTCCAGCAATGTGAACAACAGCAAAAAACTTATTTGATTCTGAACTTCCACTTTGATTAACATTTTTTATTACCCCTTAAAAATTATTATTATATTCGCATCTTTAATTTCTATTTGCAAAGAATTTACTTCCAATTAATCGTTGATCTCGATCTTCGTCGACAATCTCGTAAGGTGTGAGTACGGATGAATAAAAATGTTTACTATTTACTAAAGACATTGCATAATTTCCAATCTGGGCTATAGATTGCCTGTTGCAATGTGAATTTTTGAATGCATAATAAACTCGTCCCAACAAACTTGCCATATCTAAATTTACAATGTTTGATACAATATTACAATATTCAATAAATGTTTTTAAAAAAATGATTTTTTGATGGTTAGGTTAATTAAATCATTATTCTTTTTATTTCCGATAGGCAAAGGGCTAAAATCTTTCGCTCAAAACTGATTTTAGTGGTACTTCAACATTTGTGATTTATCTTTTCTATGCTACGACTTCGTAAAATTGAACTGATTGACCTCTTCAATGTGTTTAGCTACTTTGTTAACTTAGGAATAAACAGCGAGCTACCCACAAGGAATATTATGACATTTGATTTTTTTGAGGAATTTTGAATCTTCTCTGATTTTTGTATTTTGTATTTTTAAAATTAAAATCGTTGCGAGAGCTACCAGAATTGCCTCCGCGAGGTACCGGTAGTTCACGATCGACAGATTGGCGACCGCTGATGTAGATAATTGTAATAATAATAATACCGATCTATGATTTGAGGTTATATTAACCTTAGTATTGCGTGATTAATCTTTTACTTCGATATGGAAAAAAGTATGTTTTACTATTTTGGAAGACTTTAACATTTAGTTTTTAAAATTCCAGAAGAAGTTGCGGCAAATCGTGACAAAAAACCTGAGAAAGTTAAAAGCGATAAAATTCAAACTACAGTATCAGAACAAAATTCAAACAAGGAAAACGAGAAACTAAAACGAAAATTAGAATGGGAAAAGAGATTAGCTGAGCAAAAATTGAAAGGCAAAACCGAAGAAACTCAAGATCTTAGCAAAACAAAATTAAAGGCAATTCGCCGGGAACGCCAAGAAGCTCAACGTCAAGCTAAAGCTGAATATAAAGGTGAGGTTAAAGGTACCAGTATGAGAATTGTGTAAACATTTTTTTTTATGTAAGTTGTTTCTTAGTCCAAGAAAAACCAAAATCCAAAAGGGAAAAAACAGATTTACAAGTACAACATACAAATACTGTAACGGAAAAGCCTTTAGAGGTGAAAAAGTCAAAAGCAAAATATATTCAATTTGTTCAGCACTTGTATCGACAGTCAAGTCCAGAGTATTCAAAATTTGTAAATTACAAAGATGTCCATGCAGTTTTTGTACATTTGGGGATACAGTATGCAGAAAAAGTAATATTAGGTTCCAACGCAAGATGCTTAGCTCTTTTGTCAGCAATGAAATACTTAATTAATGATCTTCAAACACCTCCAAAACAAGAGTTTGGCAGATACCTGGAATCAGTTCTTCAACATTCTACAAATTACTTGCAAAATTGCAGACCTTTGTCGGTATCTATGACCAACGTCCTAAGGCACTTCAAGTTACAGTTGACACGTATGGATGCTAATTTGACAGACAATGCAAAGAAGGCTCATTTACAAGAAGTTATCGATCTTTACATCAATAATGATATTAAAAAAGCTTGGGATGCAATCTCTATGAAAGTAAACCAAAAAATAGTTGATGGTGATGTTATTTTGATATTTGGGTGGTATGTTTTTAAGGGAATAGTTTGATTGATAATCACTAGTGATTTTTAGCTCATCTCTAATAAGGAAAATACTTTTTGAAGCTCATAAAGATGAGAAGAAATTTTCAGTAATTATTGTTGATAGCAGGCCACTTTTAGAAGGCAGAGAAATGCTGAGAAGGCTTGTAAGCTTTGGTATTAAATGTACCTACATTTTTATTAATGCCATAAGTTATATTATGACAGGAGTTACCAAAGTGCTATTGGCGGCACATGCTTTGTTAACAAATGGATATGTTATGTCAAGAGTTGGTAAGCACATTTGAAAACAAATTCCTTTTTTTGTTTTTGGGAGTTACACTGGTACATTTTTACAATTTTATGGATACATACTTTTTGCATAAACATTTTTAAATTAAAAAAATGCTTAAATTTAAATTAAAAGTTAATAATTTCAGTGTTGATAAAGTTTAAAAATAAGAAAACTATATTCTGTTTCTAGTTAGATAATATTTTGAATTGAAATAATATGATTTTTCTTGCTTTTTGTTCTTTGAGCATTTTTTTACAGGAACTGCGCAAGTGGCTTTAGTAGCTCAGGCTTACAACAAACCAGTTTTAGTATGTTGTGAGACATACAAATTTAGTGAGATGGTACAGACACATGCTTTTATTTATAACGAAATAGGTAAGGCAGTAGGATAAAATGGACGTTAAAAGAGTAAAGAGTAATTTTTTAGATAGTTCCACATCTCTTTTTAAAGCAGGCACCCAGGCTCTTGAATCGCCTTTGGCTGCTTTAAAAGATAACCCAAAATTAAATGTACTTAACCTTTTATATGATGTCACACCACCCGACTTGGTAACTGCAGTGGTCACCGAGTTGGCAATACTGCCATGCACCAGTGTGCCCGTCGTCTTGAGAATTAATGCAAGTGAAACTATTCTATAGCATTTTAATAAAAAATATATTTTGTATATTTCTGTTTGTTTTACTATTTGCCTTCGGTAATAGTGGTAGGTATTGACCTATTACATGTGATGGACCAGAAAACTGCAAGGAATATTATTCTAGGATTTGCAAAACTTTGCTCATATATTTTCATAAAAATGCTTTTACCAAAATTAATTATTAGCTATTAAACAAAACCATAAAGAATTTTTTAATGAGCGACCCAAAAATCTTTAAGTGCATTTTAAACACGTTGGTCTAAAAAAAATTATTTTGGTTTTACTTGAAACGATTTTTTAACTTTGCATTAAATCCGATTGGTATTTTTTACTAGGTATTACCTATAAAAATTTATAGCTCATTAATTCTTATCCAACAATTTACCTGCGTTTTTAATTTAAATCTAAACCGTCGTCATTAATCCCGTGTCACCTATATAACAAACTACATAATTAAAACATCAGTTTCGTATTTTGTAACTCCGTCAAACCCGAAAAATAATTATAACAATTAAATTAATCAACCAAAATTTTGATAAAAAAAAAAACTTGTTTTCTTGACTGTGTCACAAGGACATTATACAAATGCAATAATACAGACGCACCAATCAAAAAGTTCCGTTTTCTAGCTTAGCGGAGGGGGTGTAGTGGGGAACAGCTGACTGGCGAAATCTAAACAACACAACAGACATCTTGATTGCAGTTTTTGGTGCGGCTTTCCCTAAAAAAAATTATTTTCTCCTTTAATATGACAGAAAAATAATCGGATCGCCTTTATGTTTCTTCTTTTTTGTTCGGTGTTTGTTAATTCATACAGAATACTTACTCTCGATGTGTTATTTTTAATAAGTATGACGTCATGTGATGGCTTTTATTTAATGAGGAGCTCAGTTTTATAAGGTAAATACCTCATTTTCTTTTGTTTTATTGCGATAACCGAATCGGGACTTCGATTTATGAATTGTAGGTGTGCTACGACATATTATTTAAGTAATGACAATGGTTGAAATCAATATTTTTAGTAAATATTCTAAGATTTTCGCTTTACTACTTTGAACGTCCTTGAACAAGTTTTGATTTTGTTAAATAGCTCGCGTTCGCGATGTGCATGAAAATTTCGTCGAAAAAATCGGGTGTTCTGAAAGGTACATCGTGGGTAACCTTGAAATTATTATGTTCTACAGAATTTCAATAGCAAGGTTTTAGCCCACAACTAGATTAATTCTTTTAATTTCCTACTTCCAAATTATTGCTCACGATATCCAATATCCTACTGCCTGCTTAAGTGGGTAGGTAATAGTTTGAGAATGTCGTTTGTTTGTGTTACAATTAATCGCTACAATGTTTACATGACATGACACTAGCTATATTCTAAGATATACAAGGTGTTTCAAAACAAATGAGTCTTTGTTTGAAATAAAGGGTATAGTGTGTTATATAAACGTTGGTTCAAAAGTTAACCATTAGGGAGATATCGCGCTACAAATATGGCAGAAAAAAAATATATGTATTATTATATTAGCAAATTTTTTGTCTTCTGCAATTTCCTAATAAAATTTACAGTTTTGTGGAATTTCCGTTGGCGCGTCCGTATATAAATTGCATATCTTCCATTTCTGTGATTCCCCTTTATCGAATTCAAACTCTTATTATTTAACAATTAAATAATTAGACAATAAATTTTTCATTAAAATGTATTTTGTATTGAAATTAACTGAGCAATGTCAAATAAAACAAACGCCTTAAGGAGTGACAGCAGCTAGCTAGATTTTTCTTATCTAATACATTGTTTATCTCGTTATGCATTTCTTTAGATTTAATTTTTTTTATGTGGAAAGAGAATATTTTTTTTATGTCATTGTATTAGTTTTTCCTTAAATTTAGTTAAGAATGAGAAACAATAAAACCATTATTTTTCCCGCATATTTGTTGGCTTTTAGCCCAACGTTTATATACCGAACACCCTTTTATTTTAAACAATGAATGAATGACGTTTTCGCATTTGCTTTAAAACACCTTGTATAATATAGACAGATGTCACATCTTAATATAGGTTTAATTAGAATAGCAAACTGAATTGAAACACTTAATCACATTATCACTTTATTCATATATATTCCGCTATGTTATAATAAAAAAGAAGAACCTACTTTTACAACATAACAAAGCAGTTTGAAAAGTAGCTTTCCAAAGTTAATGGGGAAAACCTTTAAAATCTTAGATAGATTTTTAACGTACCTAATCTCCTAAATTTCGTCGATATAGAATATAGCAGAATCGCTGTTATCGGATTTGTTATACCGGCTAATTAAATTATACAACAGTTGCATGTAAATGGTGTGTCTGTAACAGTTAAAATATCTACAAAATATGTGTAATATCACACTATGTGGAATGACAAACTTTCGAATTAAAACCCATTAAATGTTGACCTGTTATGCATTATTTAAATCATCAAAATATATATCATAATATAAAAATTTTTTTTTTTGGAGCTGCTAATCTCTTTTATTATTCCTTTTTTTCACACGTCTTGGCAATTGGTCACTCCACCGATCGTTTTAAATTTTGGACCAAAATTTGTGCTGTTTTATAACTAAGAAAATTTTCATTGCAGGGTGGAGTGAGTTCCATTGGATCTCTTTGGTTATTTTTAAATCAGTTGGATCTCTAAAGATTATGAATTATTTGTTGTTCAAGCACACTTTAATGAAACCCCACATGCATCACAGTTTCTCACCAGGAAAGTCCAATTGTTTGGATTCTATAACAAATACCCAAAATGATCATAAAATTAAAGAAGTTTGGTCCAAACACAATTTTAATAATGACAAAGTCAAGATAGAAACTATAAACTTGAATCACATTAAGACAACTTGGGGCGCAGAAACTGGCACTAAAGAGCCAGGCGAAGTCGCCGAATTGGTTTCCGATATCAAAAAAGAAAATGTGGAGTCCACTGAAAATGCAGCTGAAAATTCACAAACCAACGATCAAGGGGACCAAGAGGACAAGGAAGGGACGACGTCTCCTTCTCATCATGCCCGCAGACCTCCAAATGCATTTTTAATTTTCTGTAAGAAACATCGGCCTATCGTTAGACAGAGATATCCGACCACCGAAAATAGGGGCGTTACCAAGATTCTGGGCGAATGGTGGGCTCTTCTAAATATTGTGGAAAAGCAGCCTTATAATGACCTTGCTAAAGAAGTGAGTGGAGTAGATTATTTTTTATTCAATTTGTTGAGAGAAAAACTGGTGTAACTCCGGTATGGTTCCGTTTTTCTGTAAATCATATACATCCATGTGATGTTTGCCTCTGTATACATTAAATGCTTATCCCGCCTCCTTTGGATATAATGTTATTTATTCTTAAATGGAAATTTTGTTATAGTACAAAGATGCATTTCTATCTGCAAATCCGGGGTTTCGGTGGTACAAACTTCCAGCACCTCCATTGCGAACTTTGAGCACGAGACCAACTACCATTTCCAAGCCACCCATTCCAGTGAGCAGTGCGTCATTGACTTGCTTATCAGAGTTCACCCCTGGCAAGTTGGCTGACGAATCTCAACTCGGAGGGTTGACGTCATTAATGAACAACTTCATTGGCGTTCAAAATTCCATCAATAACTCTTTTTACAAAATTGAGGACAATAATAATGAACCTATTGACTTTAAGAAGGATCAAACTTCCATAAGTGATTTGGACGTTCCAGAAGGTTGTCAGAGTCCAGATGAGTTTATTAAAACTGAAATTCCTCCAAGGCCTATCAAAAAACGCGTATTTGAGCAATTTGTCGAAGAGGAGAAGAAATGCCCAAATGATGTATTCCGGGAGTCAAATGAAAACATAACACAGCAAGATTTACTAAATAAAGTTGTAGATGATATTTTTTCCTTTGACAGTGATGGTAAGTGCAAGAACTTTGGAGAATGTTGTTCTACCAATAGATATATAATAATAATGTAATAAATTGGTATCTATCTCATACCATTTTAAAGTTTCCATTCCCATATTTTTATTAAGTTCAATAAGGAGAAATTAAATGGAGGATCAGTTAAAGTTATAGTAGTTATTGGGAACTTTTCAATAAAAATTAATTTACTTTTTCAAAGAAACTTCCACAGGCTACTGTAATACTGTTTCCAAAACTTCTGGATTCCTCCTGCGTTTGTTGTTGATGCGTCGAGCTTGTTGATATGTTAGTTAAGCTCTGAAGAAGTCAACAGGATGATTGGCGAAACGTGAGCAACTTCGATTCATCAAGAACCGACGCAGGAGGAATTCAGAAGTTTTGTAGTAAAAAATTAATTTTTTTAAGGTCAAAAGGAACAGAGAAAAAGTGATCGAATGTGCAAGGGCAAAAGGTATGAGCGATTCATGGTGGAAGGTAAACTATTAGGAAGCAAACGCGAAAACAAACTAACCCAAAATTACAAACTGAATCGAGGACCGCTGAAAGTTGAACAAGAAACCATCACATCAAAATCTCAGGAACCACCCAAATTTGATTTAGAAACTACAATTAAACGACTTGCCGAGAGAACTAATGTTAAGTTGGACTTTGAGGCTGAAGATTTTAAACCCAAATCCGAAAGAGTTAGGACTAATTCAGAAACCTCAGAACCATCAGCTTCTAAATCTCAGTCAGTTAGTTTTAATCTGGACCTCAGGATAGATCATCTTCCAAGTCTGAGCTATGACAATTTCCTAATCCGAAAGAAAGAGAGCAAAAAGCGCAAAATCAAAATAAAAACTGAATCCTTGGAGCAGAGAAGCAAAGTTCCCAGATTAGGGAAATCAGAGAGCCACTTGGTTGGTTCACAGAAAAGGAAGAACAAAAACAGCATCACACATTTGAATAAAACGGAAAACGCCGAGTTAGGAGGGAATAATGCCTTGTTGGGATTAGCTACTTTAGCTTTAGTTGCTGCCAGTACTGAAAAAATTGATGAAAATACCTTTGCTGTGTAAGTTTTATGATTTTTATTATGTTTTATTCCACAATAAGGTTTGGAACTATTAACTATAGAGTGTTGAATATGGTTTTAATTTGATATTATTTTTTATTCAACATTTGATATCTTCTCTCTATATATGTATATTAATAGTTTATTATCTCTATATGAAGCATTTGTTATTTGTATTTAATGATTATTTAGGTTCGTTGTTATATTTTTATTAAGGGATGTTGCCTATTTTGAACCATTGTGCGTGTGTCCTCTAGTTCTCCCTTTCCCTCTATATATAAATGAAAGTATAAACAAAGTACATGCCGCATTGTGTTAAAGAGTATGAAACAAATGAAAAAATTACAAGTAAGCTAACTAGGTTCAAAGATTCAATATTTTTTTACGGGTTAAGCAGAATAGTAAATTAATATAATATGTCTAGTCACAAATGTGCTTCATATGTTGGGCACATTGTAAGAAATAAAATTTACCGCTTCTAAGTAAGAAAAGTGATTCATATAAGAAATTGATCATTATAGAAAAATTGTGGTTATCTTGTGGATGAAATTTTACCATTGTAAGTCGATATATTACGAGGTAATAGGTACACCTCGTAACATTCTAAACCAGATGTTGGATCCAGCACGCTAATGAACCAAGATTGATCAATGTCGAGTGCCTGCTCAATGACTTTGAACACCAAATAGGATATATTTTTGTTGCAGTGCTACACAGTTTTTGGTAAACCTTAATGCTTTGCTTTTTTTAATGATTAGCAAAGAGAAATATTCTATTTCATGGTATTTACCAAACTTTTTACCAAGGACGCTATTAAATGTTTGTTGTGATAATTTAATCTACTTTTTAGCCGTAACAATATGGCAGATATGGAGTGGTTATTTTTGAGAGAGTGTATAATCATTATTAAATTTTTTATAAATTGGGAGAATGAAAAATAAAAAGGCAATGAAGTGAAGTATGACATATTGTAATTTTTTTGAAATTTTAAAAAATAGAAGGAGATCTCTCCATGTAGATATTTTGTTATAGTTTATTGTGTTTATTTTTTTTGTGTCACATAAGGAATCCAATTTCTAATCGTTAATACCAAATTATAATTTGTATTTATACCAATTATATATTATATAAACATGTTATTATTTTATAGAGTCTAGGTGTTTTTCTATGTTCTATAAAATGTTATAGATATTTCAATATTTTTAAGGTAGAGTGTGAGATATATAATAACTGTTGATCTGAGGTGTGATTGTTTATAATAAACATTTAAAAAGTTTTATGTGATATCAAGAGTTGAAACTTTATCAAATTTTTTTCGCTATATGTTATCAATACCGTCAACTCAAAGTACTCTTTATATCCCATTTTAAGTTCAATTTGTGATGTTTGTCGCTTACATTGAACATATCTTATCGCCTGTTCAGTGCTTGGCTCTATTTTATTTAAAATTAATTTACAAAAATTTTGGAAAAATTACATTACAAAAGGTAAAGTACCCAAAAGCAGAGGACCCTTTGTTTCCTTTCAATTATTTTACACATTAAAAAAACTTCTTCAGCATCTGCTGCTACTCAACCAATTTCATTAAGACAAATACAGCTTAAACTTTTATTATAGGAAGTTGGAGCAACTTAGTGGCACCCGAGTATACATTATATACAGCTCTTTCTTGATCTAAAGTTAGGGAAATGAGTGAAAGAACTTTTTTCGACCTTATTATTAATATATGGTATTTGACCTTCAACACAATATTTTGGTTACACAAAAATATAGCTTTTCCTGGTGGTATTGCCGAGTTTCTTTAGAAGATCTTGAAACCTTAGAATTTATGGGCTGTATCGAGTGTCTTTTGCCACATTTGCTTATTATGGCAAACATTAGAAAAAAAGTAATTTTCAGTATTCACATTTTTGCAACATCATATTTTCGAAAAGGTTTTGTAATATAAAATTTTCTTTAATTGGAAATATACTATTAAGGTAGTTGCTTATTATCGATCAATATTGCAAAATTTAAGTATGTATTTAATGAATGAATATTGTTTTCTTGCTTTTACCATCTTAGCCCAATTTCATAGTTCAGCTATTAATGTCACTTAGTTTGAGAGAACCATCAACAATTTGCAGTGATTATTTACAGAATAAATATCATTTCAAGTTGCCTGCAAGTGTGTGTCTGGTTTTTTATTTCTTTTGATGTCACATTACACTATTAAGGAGTACCAAAAATGAAATTTAAGGGGTCAATAAAACCAAAATATCAATGTGAATAAATTGTAGTGTGTGATAGTTGCCTAACTATTTGTTTACGTAAATGCCTCTACATGGTGTGTCAGTTTTTCTACATTATGAAACATTATTCAAATGAAGTTATGGCTTCTTTAAAAAAAAGCACTTATAAAAATTATTCAAAAACTTTCTGAGGTTGATTTACACAAAAACTGATCTACCATGCCAGTTATTTGTAGTACTTTTTAGGCCTTCTAACATCGACCAAATGTATATGTTTTTCTAAAATATAAATGAAAGCCTTATAGGTGTAATATTAAAATATAATTATCCAAGTTTTAAAAATATCTTTGCGGGTTTGTAGGAATGCATACAGGAATAATGACATTTTACAAACAAAATGGGGATATAGGTTCCAAAAGTTTAATTAGTTAATCTGGAAATGTAGTTCCTTCCCAGTGCAATTTCATAATTTTTGGAAACCCACACTTTTGTTGACCTCCTTTCTCCGACTTAATTTCAATTTATAATAATTGGATGGCTCTCGATTGATATTGAGGAAGCTTTTACATTATTAGTATGTCAAAATTATTGTTTTGAAATGTTGCACTCTCCTTCACATTTTAAAAATTATATGTAGGTACATAAAAATGCAGGTGAATAATCCTCATTGTGTTTGTATGCATAGATCTAAAAGATTTGTTACCATTATATGCATGGTTTGATAGATATAGGAATGTGAATGGATTGTGATATGTTATTTTTCTACGGAACAGAGACATGTTTTTATTTATCCAAGTTGTATAGTGCCTTTTTATTTATTGTACCGTTATTTACAAATTTTTATGCCTTTAGAAGGTTTGACTAATATAAAATATAAATTTTATTAAAGTTTAATATTAATTTGGTGTTTTCTTTAAATTTAACGATATATCAAAGGATAGGATGGAACATTTGGTGGGTTAATAAAATCTGACAATAAAAATCCTTTATAAGAAGATATATTCGGAAAATTTTCAGTTCAACTTGTAAAATTCAAAATCTGCTTTCATTAGGGAATTATTTATAAAATTCATGTTCACTTTCATCCTTTTTAATGTTATTCTTGTAGCCCTTCTCGAAGTCCTTAGGCAATACAATGTACCGATTTTCTCTCACTGCGTGCATTCCTGCTTCCTGGCAGATAGCGTTTATATCAGCGCCAGATATCTTGTCAGGTCTGGCAACATAATCCTCCAAATCAACCTGAAAGAAGGAATCTCAGAATGTACAGTAATTGCTTTGAAAATTTAAGCTATTACTCACTTCTTCAGACAAATTCATTTTGGAAGTTATTGTGCTGAAAATCAATCGTTTTTGCCTTCTATCTGGCAATGGAAACTCAATCTTTCTGTCTAATCGTCCTGGTCTAAGTAAAGCAGGATCCAGAGTATCAGCTCTATTTGTAGCCATGATAACCTAACTCAAAATGTGAAAGATGCAAGCCTCATAATAAATAAAGTACTCAAATAATAAAGTACCTTAACATTAGTTGTTTGGTCAAAACCATCCATTTGATTCAGAAGTTCCAGGAGAATTCTCTGTACTTCCCTATCAGCACCAGTTTGAGCATCAAATCGTTTTGTAGCGATTGCATCAATTTCATCAATGAAAATAATTGCAGGAGAATTTTCTTTGGCTAAACGAAATACATCTCTGACCATGCGTGGACCTTCTCCTAGGTATTTTTGAACAAACTCTGAGCCAACCACTCTAATAAATGCGGCTGAAAAATTATTGGGATGAAATCCCTGAAACTACAGTGATTCGTGCACAAATACCTGTTGTGTGGTGGGCAACTGCCTTAGCTAACATAGTTTTACCACACCCTGGAGGTCCATACATTAACACACCTCTTGGGGGGTCAATGCCAATTTGCTTATATAGTTCAAAATGTGTCAATGGTAATTCAACAGCTTCCCTTATCTCCTGTTTTTGCATGTCCATTCCACCTAAATGCCAATCAGTTTGTATCACAATACAAAACAAAATCAATAGTTGATTCTTTACCAATGTCGCTATAACTAACATCTGGTTTTTCATCTGCTTGGAGCATACTGATAGACGAATCAGCTTCCGGTGGCAAAACATCAACCAAAGCATTGCTGTGTTTATGCAGAGCAACACTTGCCGATGGTTTTAACAACTCGCGATCAATAGTGGACAAAATTCTCACATAATAATTAGAACCAGTTGTCGATCCAACAATACCTATAAAAATGTGTTATATAGATATTGGAAATTATATTACAAACGGGTATAATCTTTTTCAAAAGAACCAAAGTACCTGTGTTTTGATCTACTGCTTCTAAAAATTGTCCAATCACAAGAGGAACAGACTGAATCCTCTTAACTTCTTCTTGGGCATGCAGGTATTCTTTCTTAAGGTTCCGTTGTTCATCCTTGATGTATTCCTCTTGTACTTCTAGAAATTCCAGCATTTGTTGAAGTTTTTTATACTTCGTGTATAAATCTTCAGTGTCTAGGTCTTGAAGAGTTTGCTTTGTTGTGTCTGATGGGCTTCCTTCTTCCTGAGCAAAACACAATAAAAGCCAATTAAAAAGCACAGATTGTAATTTCAAAGAAACGGAATTTACCTTTTCAGGCAAAACTACTTCCATTGCTTCCATCGTGATTTCCAATAAAAAAAAGTTTAAATAGTTTAGATCAGATGACTCGTACAATTCGTTTTGCTAGGTTAAGGGCAAAGACTAAAACATGTCGATTGGTTACTTTAAAAAGGTTTGAATGTATGGAGGTTTCTTTCTGATTTCAACTTGGGGTTGGAAATTAAATATAAAACAGAATCGGGAATTTCTATTCACTTCTGGACAAACGAAACTATAGGTGATGTATGTTATACAATATTTTTATAAAATCCTCTTTGATAGTAACAACCTCATACTAAGCCACTTGTGGAATATAGACTGATACGTCTTACACCAATGCTACTTTGCTCTTTACTGTGAATCAAGTTTAATCCGGTAGATGACGCCAAACGCTCTTTATATTTTGATGTAAAATTTTCAGTATTGATGGAGAGATAGGTAGCGATTTTGCGTTTTATTTATTAACAATATCCAAATCAGAGCAATGTGAGTACGTCGCACAAAAGCACGCTTTAGTTTAGAATATGTGGCTCGATTATGTTGCATTCTCGTATTTCACGTCATTATGGTTTATATAGAACGAATCCTATCAAATAAATACCCATACATACTTTATAATAGTGCCTACTTAAATATTTTTCGTTGCTTCTATCCCATGTTTGTTGATGGTATTTAATTCTGTTGTTTGATAACAAAATAGTTAATAAACTTGCACTACCCAACAAATATCGTTGGTGTTGAGCCTAACATGATATTTTTAAATTAAGAATTTCTAATACAAATTATTTTATATAAAGTAGTTGACTTTTGTTGCAAATAAAATGGTTCCAACAATAATATCGAGTAAATAACTATTTCGACGAATCATATAATAAAATAAATAATAAGTTCCAAGGATAGGTATGTACGATGCCTATAAATACTCCTTATGTACCATAAGCCATAGCGACTAGAACAATACGATATGTATAAGAATACGAAAAATTAAAATATCCATTTAATGTTATTTAAAGTCAATGTCATGTCATTATGGGCATTCTTATAAAAGGTCACATATGGTAGTTTAGTAAGAAAATAAACTTTGTAGGTATTTTCCGACTGAATAAAATAAATGTTGGTATAAATTATTTTTACTTATGGTAAGTATTGTGCACCCCTTCCAATCATAAAAAATAATAGTTGATCGACGTTTCCCAGCTAAACTTTTGCTTTAAATATTAAGTTACTGTTTAATAATCTCTATACCCATTATTTTATGATTAGTAATTCGTTCAACTTATTTTGAGATCTTTTTTATAGAACTGACTATGAAGGTAGGAGTTACGTCTTGAAGGTTTGTTCGAAGATTTGTAGCAAACAAAAATTTCGAGTAACTTAAAAGAATAGTATTACAAAATGTTCATTTCAATATTGGATTATTTAAAATGTTTTATTAAATTTTGGAATAAACAACTAAGTTGAAAGATTTTGTTTTAGCTCATCCTAGCAGACAATTTCGCTTATATCCAGCATAGCTTACGTTATTTGTTTGTGTTTAATGAAATATTTGGGAAATGTTTATAATTGATGGATTTTTGATTTAGTTACGTACCTATATTTTTATATACAGGGTGTTGTATACAGTTTTTGACAATTCTGCGGCAAGTTGGTGACCCATGAAAGAAATAGTTTTCTGACTCACTTACGGGACATAGTTATGTATTTAATTTTGATAAAATATAGTGATTTTCTTTAAAAATATTGATGTTAACAAAATCTACTTAGAATTTCGTGTAGTATAAAATATGGGGTTTGCATTGAAAATTAGAAAGTGGTGCATTTGCTAAAGTACTTTTAAAAATATAGCTTGTCATTTAATATAGACGGATAGGTACTAAATTATTTAGCTCTAACATAAACCCAATGAAAGATAAAGAAGAAAAAGTAGTGGACAGTTTTTTTGCCCTTTGTATGTGTTAATATAACTTTTTTGAAACCATACACCCTGTATATGTTTTTAATAAAATATTGAGTTATCAAATCTTTAAATTTGACGTTCTCTTGTGAAACAATTTATGACTTAAAATAACTGTGGCGTAAGTAGCTATGCTGAATGTATGAAGTTTATTAATTTTTTGTACCACGGAATATTTCAGATGCTGATCATCAGTAATTTTTCAATGATATTGGGGCGCGTTAAGATTTGGTAAGTAGTTTCACAAAACGAAAACATTTAATTTTCTAAAAGCCATATTATAACTTGCCTAAATTTTGTACGCAAAAGTTAAACCGGAAAGCAAGAATAGCAAAAATATTTTTCTACAAGTGTCAAAAAATTGTCAAAATTTTAAATAAATTAGCAGAAGCTATCTTACAGTCGGTTTCATAATTTTTCATTGATTTGGGATGTGCAATAAAAAATAACATATTTGGCTGTGAAACGCGAAATTTGCTATCTACCTATAAACATATCTTGAATAGACACGAGATTTTTTGTATACTCCTAAAGGTCTGCAGGTACGGAATTTCAATTTTTAGATTTGGAATGCAAAAAACTCTATTTTTATTTAAGTTGCTGCCCAGAGTTGTTGTAGTAATATAAACCCTCGTTCAAATATATATTGTCCATAAAAGCATTATTAATAATAATAATTATTATTAAAACTAAGATGTATTCCGATTTAAACGTTTTTTAAAACTCAAAAACAAGAAACGTGGTTTTGGACGTTGATGGTGAGCAATCTGTGCCCGCAAATTCTTCAACATCAACCGTGGTAACTTCGATATCAAGAACCCAATTGGAAGAACATATCTGAAAACACGTTGCTCCAAAAAACAATCCGACACAACAGTCGTATATTTATTTGATCAATTACCAAACCGATTGATTGTAGGTAATGGCGTCCACTAACCAATCGAAGACTTCAGCCCCTTCGGGTGTTGGGACTTCTTCCGATGACAGAACAAAATATTGTGTATATAACAATCCAGAGTCGGAATCTAATTCCAGCTCTATTTTATCATCCATCGGTAGCGTTTTAGTTATTGTCAGTACCGCTCTGATATGTTTCGCCGCTGCCCGGAACTCCATTACTTGGTTGGTTGATGGTGGTGCCAAGACGAGACGCATACAAGCATGAGTTTTCAGGTATTGCCAACGGTTCTGGGGAGCTTCAGGGGATTTTTGGCAGGCTCAGTGGAATAAATTTCTCAACGTCGCGGGCGAGGATCCTTATTATTTGTGGGTATTCGGCACCACCGCACTAACGATCATCGTTTACTGGATTTTCGGTGGGATTTACACTTTCTTGGACGTGACCAACAAACCTGCCGCTCTCCGACGATACAAAATTCAACCGGGCACCAACGAGCCTGTGGACACTAAAAAACTTTTAGAGGTTCTCGATTTTAGCTGCTTTCTTCCCTATTTTCAATTCAAATTTTAACATTTCCGCATCATCTATTAGAATTCTTGTAATTTATATTATGGCTTTTGAAATTTCTTATTCAAAAATACGTTACTGTATAACAAAAATAATTTTTTAGATATGAACCATCTGATCTTTTGCTTTAGCCCATATATAAAAAAAAATTAGTAACTTAAATTTTTAAACAAATTGCTTCAATGTGGCGAAGACTAGGTTTAAAGGTACTCTATTCAGTGATCGCAGCAAAAGAGTACAAAATTCAAGTTAATAAAAACACACCTTGGTTGATAAAAAAGTAATATTATTTTATTATGTATAGGTGTGTCTCATTGTTCATGGTTTTGCTGTGTAAGCTACCCTATTAACAACGTCAGCGTGTTGCTGACAGGTGGTAGAAAACAAATGTCATAGCTATGTTGGATTTTACGTACAGGGTGAAAATGTATCTTTAGACACCATAGCTCGGTTATGCATTCATTTATCGAAATGGTGAAAATTTGGTCTGGTCTACGTAGTCAGTTTTCTTCCGAGACTCACTAATTCTGATATATAAACTAAACTTTTCTTTGGAATACCCTGTATGTCTCTTAATTAATTTATCAGGCTTGTTACTAGCTTTGAAAAATATATAACACATAAAAGATATTTCAAATATAAGATAATAATTATCATAATAATAATATGTTAAGTGGAATAAAATTAGAATATATTTTCTAAAATGTCCAAATATGTGTTTATATAAATCGTATATTTAGACGTTTATACATTTTTAAAAAGCACTTAAAGACTCCATGAAATAAAAAAAATGATAACCATTATGTTACTGGACTCTACGTAAAAAGATCTATAAGATTAGGGTTTCTTAATCTCATCACAATATAGAGTGTATGAGTGTAAGTAAATGAAATGGCGTAATTTTCTGTTCGAAAAGGGTGTCTTTTAGTTCACGAAAATCGACCATAGTACTACGAAATCCAGTAAAAAGTAAAAATTTCTATAAATGTGTTTTCGAGTTATCTTTATTATTTAATTAAAAGTAAATCTAAAACTGTGAAAAGCTTTTATAGTAACTTTGTACCTTAAAAATACTTGAGACATCACCCTGTGAACTGTCGTACCAGTATTAAATAATACCCTGTTTGTTGGTATGTACTCAAATCTTATTCTCTCTGTGTTTGAGCTGCGCCACCAGTCTGGGATCTTTTGCTTATATTAAAGTTGAGTGGATTTTCTCTTGGTTCCAGGTGATATCTTGCGTGATCATAAATCAAACTCTAGTAGGTTTGCCGTCCTCATTCGTGATGTATTGGGCGATGCGATGGCGAGGATTTCCCGAAATAAGGGAATTGCCGACATTCCACTGGGTGCTTTACGAATTGGCCATTCATATTTTAACGGAAGAGGCTGCTTTTTATTACTCTCATAGGTAAGAAAACGTTTTTACACGGCGCATTACCTGCACCAACATGGTGACTTCGATTGAACTATAGTTTAAAACAGTCGTCGGTGCATTTGGTATAAAAGCTATAAAAACAATCTAAAGAACTTTGCAATTGGAAGAACTGGAAGCAGTGTATAAGATGTACTAGAAGTGTAATAACTAATTGTTTAACAGTGTAGAAACACATTATTGACAATTCGAAAAGGGAATGTCTTCATTGTCTAAATTTTTCACTAGGTTAAAAATGCAGTTCCGTATTGAGACTATTAGATTAGTGTCTCTTATTTTCGATTATTCTGGTCATAGTTTTTTCGTTTTTAAGGACAAGAAAGATAGCGATATAGTAATATGTTTATTTTAATTTCGCAGACTGTTACATAGTCGACATATCTACAAATACATCCACAAACGCCACCACGAATGGACAGCTCCGATAGCGGTGACTGCCATCTACTCGCATCCGGTGGAGCATATTTTTTCAAACCTAGTACCACCTTTCTTAGGGGTCTTCATTATGGGCTCCCATGTGGCAACGGCGTGGTTATGGTTTACCCTGGCAATTTTGTCAACTTTAAACGCCCACTCGGGTTATCATTTACCCTTCTTTCCATCTCCAGAGGCTCACGATTTTCACCATTTAAAGTAAGTACGTCGGCGTAACAACATATTTACATAAAATGGACGGGGTGTCCCTTTTTCGATGTGTTATTATGGGAAACTATTATTCAAGATACCAATATGGTATTTACACATTACTTCCTTTTAGGTTTCAATGGTACAATGAGAGTTTGTGAATAGCACGAAGAAAAATAAAAAAAATTGGAGATTTGAAAAATTTCATGATACAGATTTTTTGATTTTGCGAAGACTTTCATTGCAACTTTTTAACAGAAATAAAATGACCCATATAGCCCATTTTCATTTCATATCTTGTCAAAAAGTATCATTGTCTAGTTTAAGTAGTTTTAATGTTACCTATACACAACCCAATAAAACATTACTTACTCCGTCTTTATAACTATAAATCGTATTTTTTTAAAATTTTTGCGTTGAAATTTTTTTCTTGTTTAAAACTAATAAGGGAGCGGACATCGAGAGAGGAGAGATTTAGAGAAAACTTTTAATGATAAATATTAGCAACGGGTATGTTCCAGATTCAACAATTGTTTTGGGGTATTGGGTGTTCTGGACCGTATCCATGGAACGGACAAGCATTTCAGGCAAACGACTGCCTATGTGAGGCATATAATGATGTTAAGTTTCATACCACCGAGGGACGCTTTTCCGGACAGCAAGCCTTGGCTGTACGGTAAATTCTAATATGTATTTGTCTGTTAGTCATACACATTAAAATGTGAATATTTTTTGTGATTTTTGATTGACCATAAATTTTTTCATAGGAGGTTCAAGTAGGTATTAATAATCATTTGTATAGACGTGACCCGATTTGTTTTTCACAATAACTAATATTTTATAATTCTGTAGCTTTACTCTGTTATACTTATACAGTTTATAAAAGGACCATACTAAATAATATAACAATACACTTTAAATTTGAAGGTATAAATTTGTTGTCCCACATCCGCCCTCCATCTTGCCTCAACTGCCTCGTATATGTCAGGTATTTCCATATAGCTACTAGCCATATACAGACCTTGCCTATGTTGACAAGACTGGAATTTAATATGCGCATGCACTGTTATTTAAAACCAATTCAACCAATAAGACTGAGCCGCGTTCAACAACTAACACGACCGTCGTCAATTCGATAGTTCCAGTTTCATTGCATTTTCGCGGCAGTATTTTGTCAAAATATGCCCAGATCTCTTTAATTGTTCTAGAAAAACGAATGTGTGAAGATCGCGGAAATGTGGGTTAGTGGGTGAAATTTAGAGGTGTGCGCCGAAGTTTATCCCTATCCCCATCTCTACGAAAATATAATAGCCGCCCGCATCATCAAATCAAATCAAATCAAAAAAAAGTTTTCCTATAACAAATGATTTGGGCAAAATTAGTGGTAAACCCCTTTAACGACGCTATTATACAAATCAGAAACATAATACAAACAATATGATTTTTTGGGGTCCCTTCTGGCTTTCGAAACACTCTGTATATGGGATAGTAAATATACTCACTTTCATCACTGAAAATGAGCAATTTGGATTGCACACTAAACTCCCCCCCTATTCAGTAATTTTTTATTTGAATTTTGGCCTGATATTACCCATAAGTAATTATATTATTGTTATAGAATTGAAAGAGCTAATTTTATTTCAATACTATTTTAATTACATTAAATTTTTATTAAGTTATATATATAATTTTAGAATTATTCACGGAAAACGTGTCGATGTTCAAAGGGCATTAAATTTTTTTTATTCTATTTCTACTGAAATCTGAGCCAGGAGTCTTCTTGTGCATTGCATTCCTTTACAAAGAACGCACACGCTACATCTTGAGCCTGTTTTATTTAAACATTAGTCCTCAAGAGATCTGTATTATTACCCGCGGATTCGCGAAAGAAGGTTTGTGATTGAATCGATAAACTTTAATTAAGTATGCCGTTTGGAAAATAATGCTGTAATAAAACGAATATTTTATTTAATTACAACAGTATAAAAATACATAAAGATATCTGGGTAGATATACAATTTTACGCTTATCTTTAAACTATAGGTATATCACAAATATAATATTGCATTTGGATTAAGGCACTAATTGGCATTAATTAAGTAAATACCACAAGCTAATTATAAAAAATTTGGCAAACTATCAGAGACAAAATTATTAACTTTGCAAATAATGATAAACTTATTCGGTTCCAAATGGAAAAGTACTACGACCTAGTATCACCTACAGTACATAATTCAGAAATATGTATTAAGCAATTGCTTTTAAAAATTAATACATTTACATACATCAAATATATAAATTTATTCTGAAAATTAATATAATTGTAAAATTCAAAAAGGCATTAACATACATATTATACAAAATATACATGTAACATTGAGTGGAAATATTTACATATATGTGTGTACTATTTCTAAAATAAATGTAGTATCCATGGTTTTTTGTTCATACCAATATTATTTTTTCATAATTGAATAAAAAATATAGATGTTAGGTTTGGTACATGCCTTCAATCAAAAAATCCATCCTTTTGTAGTTTCTGTGCAACCACCAATCCATACCACGCTTATACAGTACAGATATTAAAATGGCAACTAAAGGTACTGACAAAATGACCGCTACAATTGGCACAATATACTCCGATTCTTGACTTTTTTGATGTAGCAGTACTGGATCAATTTGTTCTACTTGGAGAGAGTTTTTTATATTGTCCTCTTTTGATACTTCCATAGAAGCATCTGACTCTGTTACTAAGGGCTTTTTATGAGGCTTAATCGGTATATTCGTAACATTTGTTTTATTAGCAGCACTTTGGTGAATTGAGTTGCTGAAGTCAGGTTGATCAGGCATAGTAACTCCTTTCTTTGGAACACTTGTCTTAGCATCATCCTTTTGTACCTTAGAACTAAGTTCCATTTTGTCTTGCTTCACTCCTGATAGGCTGTTATTTTGAGTTGTGTTTATTTCAGAAGTTTTTACTCGATTAATTGGAGGGGTATCAAGCTCATGTTCTCTTCCCATATGTCTATCTAATAAAATATCTTTTGAGGCAGGCAAACTTGCAGTTCCAACTGTTTTGGCAAGATTTAGAGTTTTTGCAGACAGAGGTTTACCGTTTTCTTCCATAATTCTAGGAATGGTGCTTGGTAAATTTGTTTTAATACCACCAATTGCATAATGGAGATAACACAAGAAAATCAAATTTCGCATATTTATAAATGACTCGGTGCTGGTAACTGCAAATTTATTTACATAGCTTTGAACCCACTCCGTGCAACCGCTTCAAATTACAAAAAGGAAAAACCACATCATTTACCACTAGTACATAACCCAGCACTTTCTCAATTTCTGTGTGTAGTCTATGCCTAGAGTTTTATTCTGTGGTTTAGATATAAGAATATAAGAAATATCATCTAACTTTTATGTATTCTGCGACTGACAATCTCCAAGATTGTTAACAAAAACATTTAAAGTATTTATTTTTATAGTAGTTCATTTATTAATTCAGCTTAAACTAGGATACAACGAGATTCTATTAACTTGGTGTCTTTTAGAACTAATTCGTCGCGCATTCTTCGCTGGGTTTATCTTTGGTGTAAGACAAAAACATAACCCTTTTATTTATTTATCAAATGATTGAGGATATTATTAATAAAATGGGTAAATCTGATCAGTTAAGTGATAATGTGCCTGGACTTTCCCCACAAACCGAAGCCAGCAAATTACTTGAGCAAGCACTTATGCAAATGGATGGAATAATTTCAGGTAATTTCAATTTGCCTGCTTCTAATGTGTAAATTCTTTTTTTCTTTTATTGCTTTAAAAATAATATCGGAAAACCATTATTGTTTATCCTTTGGGTGCCCAAAAAATGAAATCCCATAGTTTAAGTGATTCAACTGATTGAATTCAGTTTTTGGGTTACTGATAGAAATCTTACAAAGATTAGAATTTGCCTCTGCTATAATACCGATTTCCTATTAGTATTTTGCTATTAGGTACCCACATATTTATATGCAACTGCATAAGAAACCATTGCTGATGCCTTAAGTACGATGTTTGTGTTGATTGATATTAAGTTAGGCAATAATTGTAGCAAGAAATGTAAACCTACTTATTATTTGATACAAATTAACAAACAATTCATGATTACCCGAGGATTTTTTTGTTTAGTTAATTTTAACCGAAAAATAGTTATGCCTATTGTGTTAAAACATGGTGGAACCTATATACAACGGGTTTGAGGGGCAACCTGCGGATTTCGAGCTACATACAGCTCTTTTAAGGATTATTTGTGGCAAATAAATCTACCTTAGTTCGATTTCATTTTTGTGTTATTATATTTTTAAAAAATATCTTCCATATCTGTTGCAAAGTGTCATTTAAGTTTATCACAACAACTATGAAAGACTAAGTACAACGTTGTAACGAATTTCATTTGCGTCCAAGTTAAGAATTATATGACTCATCGAAAACTGCGCTTGTACTTTAATTGTGTTTTCAAAAAATATAATTTCTGTAAAAAAATATGTTATTATCTTTTTTGCATTCCTTTTAGATGCGGATTTAATTGCGGATAGCGAAAAATTTAAAATGAATACCTTAATATATATCATGGAGTGGTGAGCAAACCACTCATTATTAACATCATTAAATTGTGTCTGCGCCTACAATCATCCCATTTTTGAATTATCTGTTGCATGATGGTGTGTCATTTAATATAATATTAACATCTAAATAAAAAAAAAACTCGAAAACTCCCGTTTTTGTCGCGCACGCAAGTCGCCCTTTTCCTCCCCCTTCCAGGTCGACAATCTTGGAGTTGCATTCGATATTGTCTGGTCGAAACGCCAGCGGCGGGCAACAAGTAGATCGGCGGAGTTGCGTTTGGAAACTCCCGGTCCGCTTCGGAGTTCGCTCTGTTGCTTTTCGCGAGCATCTTCTCATATTTTACTTCCACCCATGCGATGCTTCTTTAACGACTCCTTTGGGGTAGTTTAGTGTTTACATGTTGAAAGTGTGTAGTTTACGAGCGCTTTATTGTCGATATCGGTTTGTGTGTTTGCGGGATTATTTGTTGCGGTGGAGCTTCTGTAAGAATAGGGATTCATTTGTTTTCTGTACAGGACACATGGTGTTGTCTTTTAAAGATAGCTTGGCTTATGTTTTAAAACGAATTAGTTAATTTTCTCACAGCATGTTTGAGGTTTAAATGTCAATGTGTTAGCATAAGTTTGATCTAAATTTCAGATTTATTAAAAAAAATCATTAGAAATTTACCTCTTCAAATATTTTTTACCCCAATATTATCTTTTTTCCTTGAAAAAATTGTCCAGCGTTTTTTTTAAATTTTGTGAAGTTATTAGTAGAGAAAAGCAGAGATTCGTGAATACAAAGAAGCAAACGTTTATTTAAAAGGTTTTAAATGTAATTTTAGTTTTCACATTTCTATTTACTGTTTTAGGTTGTGTAGTTAATTTGTAAAAGCTTGATAATTGAACCATCCTTCCTATACCTCACAAGATTTAAAAGTTGAATCGAAAAATCGAATAGAGAATGAAGATATCTTATAACATAAGGTATCATATGATTTTTAAAAATTTTAAGTTGACAATTGGCACTTGTTAAGCAGGCAACATCCTGGTCCTATATCGATGTCTTTTTCATTACATAGCGGAGGTGTTGGGGGGTGGGGGTCACATGGATTTTCTACATTTACAGATAACCCCCATCGGTGCACCCAAAAAATATTTTTTTACAATTTTTTTATTAAGTTACGTTCAAACTAAAATCCTTGGCTCTATCCATTTAATCACCTAAGTATTTTTATAATTGAAAATTTTAGATTCGTAAGATATTTTTGTTGGTTCATACGAGAGAGGTGATTGTAAAATAATTAATTTGACCTCGACTGCGCACA